CGGGTGGAATACGAGGTCAAGAGATCAAGACCATCCTGGTCAACGTGGTGAAACCCCGTCTCTATTAAAAATTCAAAAAATTAGCTGGGCATGGTGGCGCATGCCTGCAATCCCAGCTACTCAGGAGGCTGAGGCAGGAGAATTGCCTGAACCCAGGAGGCGGAGGTTGTGGTGAGCCGAGATCGCGCCATTGCACTCCAGCCTGGGTAACGAGCAAAACTCCGTCTCAAAAAAAAAAAAAAAAAAAAAAGGCTTGAGACAGCTCACCCTTACATAGAAATGCAGTCCATTAGGAAGGTGAATGGCCTGCTCAGTAATAGAAATTGGAATGAATAACTTCTGGGCCGTTGAACAAGAAGGAGAAACTGCTTCCAAAAAAGAGATTGTAACAGGAGAGTTGGAGTAACCCAACTCCCAGAAGATGTATAATATTTGAAATCCAAGCTGTAGGCTTGGTTCTGATTGAATAACCAAAGTCATGGGCAATGTATTATGGACTGTTTTGAAGGTGCCCTATGGTCCCTAGAGTTTTTTCTTGGATTTGGTATTGAGAAGTCAAGTCAGAGGAATGAGTCTTCCCTCTGATTCGGCCCCCACACACAGTCAGCAGCCCAGGCGTGCAGATTCTCTTAGAATTACTTCTGCATTGGTTCATTTTTTTCCCCCAGGGTCACTGTTTTTGCCCATCCCATATCTACCATCTGTCCCACTCTGACCCATTTTTCATTCTACATTTCAAATAATCTTTTAAAAATGCAATCTAATTCATTTGCTTTCTTGCTTCTTAGTCATTTAGTCGATTGCCCCTAGAATAGAGTATTACCGTATTTAATGTGGTTTGTAGAACACTGCAAAATCCTGATCTCTACCTATTTTGTCCCTCACCACCATTACCTTGCTCTCTCTTACCTCGTTCATGCCTTTGCTATACTGGAATCATTTCCATTGTTAGAACATTGGCTTCCAAGCACGCTGCTCTTTCTGGAACTCTCTTAGCCTGGCCCAGTCAGTTGTTTCTGAGGGGACTAGGTTCAGATCCCTGATTTCCATTCCCAGAGCACTATATCCCTCCCCTGTTTGCAGCACAGGCCACGCTTGGAACTGATGCATCAGAAATAGTTTTCCTTCTGGATTGTAAGTTCCTTGAGAGCAAGGGGTGTTCTTTGCACAAAACTCTTGTGCCCTTGTGTCTAGAAGAATGCCTGGCACAGAGCAAGACATCCATAAATATTTGTTGAAGAGGAGGAAAAATGAACAAGTGAATGAATGCATGAATGATGTAGAAGACAATCCAGCAATACCAAGGTATCTATTGGAATTGAGATTATTTTAAAAAAATGCAGATGGATGGAGAATTTATGTTAAAAGCCAAAAGAGTCTTGAGCTTTGACTTCTAGGCATTATCAAGTTTAATAAGGAGATATCAGTAAGATACTAAAGCAAAAGCCAGATAGTTGTAAACTTAAGAATAAATATGATGTAAGGAAATGAACACAGCCCATAAAGCCAACCTTTCTAAAAGAGTAATAATAAAGAGAGAAGTGTAGTGCTAGAGAGGAATGATGGATGAAGGGGTCTGAGACTTGTTTGCCTCTTTTTAACTTTGTGGTGGAGACAATTGGGCATGATCATCACTTTTTCTACTACTTCCTCTTGCTTTCCTGATACTTCACAGGGAAAGTTCTATAAACATTTCCTACTACGAAGTGAAAAGAAACACATTCTAAAAGACGGATTTATGGGATTTTATTTAATATTTTTCAATTTTGGGGAAAGGAAAACTTTCTAACTTTTCAGTCTATCAGAAAATTAAGTCTTTTTCTAATTTATGAAAATAGTTGTTACAATTTGTACTGAAGTATACAAACTTTGTCTTTACTAAGGCAATTTGCTTTTAAGTTTTCTTCTCCTTTTGGCTACTCTTAAAAATCTGGACTTTTAGGTTTAATCGTAAAAAGCTCACATCTCTTTAATCACAGATATTGGCATGTCCAGGTGCCAGGTCTGATGGCAGACATTTGATACAGCGAATTGCTTTCAGGATGGATACATAATTTTTAGGCTTGCCTCTTCCTTTTTTTTTTTGGATATTTATTTATTCTATTATTTGTTTATTTTAACTTTTATTTTTAGTTTGGGGTACAAGTGCAGGTTTGTTACATAAGTAAGCTGTGTCATGGGAGTTTGCTGCACAGATCATTTCATCACCCAGGTTTTTTTTGTTTTTTTTTTTAAATTTTTTATTGGATTATAGGTTTTGGGGTACATGAGCAGAGCATGCAAGACAGTTGCGTAGGTACACACATGGCAGTGTGCTTTGCTTTTCTTCTCCCCTTCACCCACATTTGGCATTTCTCCCCAGGCTATCCCTCCCCACCTCCCCCTCCCACTGGCCCTCCCCTTTTCCCCCCAATAGACCCCAGTGTTTAGTACTCCCCTTTCTGTGTCCATGTGTTCTCATTTTTCATCACCCACCTATGAGTGAGAATATGCGGTGTTTCATTTTCTGTTCTTGTGTCAGTTTGCTGAGGATGATGTTTTCCAGATTCATCCATGTCCCTACAAACGACACGAACTCATCATTTCTGATTGCTGCATAATATTCCATGGTGTATATGTGCCACATTTTTCCAATCCAGTCTATTATCAATGGGCATTTGGGTTGATTCCAGGTCTTTGCTATTGTAAACAGTGCTGCAATGAACATTCGTGTACATGCATCACCCAGGTTTTAAGCCTACTACCCACTAGTGACTTTTCTTGATCCTCTCCCTCCCTCCACCCTCTGTGCTCCAAAAGGCCCAAGTGAGTGTTGTTCCCCTCTATGTGTCCATGTGTTCTCATCGTTTAGCTCCCGCTTATCAGTGAGAACATGTGGTGCTTGGTTTTCTGTTCTTGGGTGAGTTTGTTCAGGATAATGGCCTCCAGCTCCATCCAGGTCCCTGCAAAGGACATGATCTTATCTTTTTTTATGACTGCACAGTATTCCATGATGTACATGAATGACATTTTCTTTATCCAGTTTATCACTGATGGGCCATTAGGTTGATTCCATGTTTTACTGTTGTGAATAGTGTTCCAACAAACATACATGTGCATGGGTCTTTATAATAGAATGATTTATATTCCTTTGCATATATACCCAGTATTAGGATTGCTGGGTCAAATGATATTTCTGTCTTTAGGCCTTTGAGGAGTCACCACACCGTCTTCCACAATAGCTGAAGTAATTTATACTCCCATCAACAGTGTATAAACATTCCTTTTTCTTTACAACCTTGCCAGCATCTGTTATTTTTTGACTTTTTCATGATAGCCATTCTAACTAGTGTTAGATGGTATCTCATTGCAGTTTTGATTTGCATTTCTCTAATGAACAGTGATGTTGAGCTTCTTTTCATATGATTGTTGGTCACATGTATGCCTTCTTTTGAAAAGTGTCTTTTTCTAACTCTTCATCTGTTCCTTAAGAACTGCTTTTGGAGAAAAGTATATCAGAGAGTATGGTAAGGGATGCTTTCCTCAAGTCTACATGACCTCGTTACATGTAGTAAACAAGATGTTCCTGTTTATTTAAATTCTAGGACGGGTGTGGTGGCTCAGGCCTGTAATCCCAGCACTTTGGAAGGCCGAGGTGGGCAGATGATCTGAGGTCAGGAGTTAGAGACCAGCCTAGCCAATGTGGCGAAACCCTATCTCTACTAAAATACAAAAATTAGTAGGCTTCGTGGCAGCTGCCTGTAATCCCAGCAACTTGGGAGGCTGAGGCAGGAGAATCACTTGAACCCAGAAGGCGGAAGATCATGCCACTGCACTCCAGCCTGGGAGACAGAGTGAGACTCTCTCAAGAAAAAAAAAAGATGTTTACACTTAATTAAATTCTAGAATTTAAATGATTGAGGGTTTGAGGGTTGCCTTACTTGAACGATAATCTGTCTCTGTTATTAATACTAGGCCAGTAGCTGGGTTATTATTCTTACCACAGCAAAGTTAATCACTCACTGGTTAAAGAGAGAGAGCATTCAGTTTCTTTGGAGGCTGTTTAATCATCACCTTCTGGGATGACAAGTACCTCTTCCAGTTTCTGAGAACATCGTATTCCACTGTTTGCCAAGGCCTGTTGCCAAACTTGCCATTTTAATTTATTTGTTTTTCCCTTACCATGTTACTACCCTTTCCACAACCAGCTTTGTACTGAATTCATCAACTGACCAAACCATTTCTGAAGTTACTGCTGATGTTACCCATAAAAATCATCACTAGTTTAGTTGAGGAATATTCTGTATTCCTGGCAGGCAAAAGCAAGACAAACAGGTTTCCAAGGTATCAACACTGCATGCATCTGCTTCATAGTATAATTCATCAGTTGAGCAGATGAAGAATGCTAATTAGTTTGTTTATACATATGTAATTTAATGAGACTAAAGCCTTAACCATCTTAAAGTAAGCACAACTTGTTTCCTGTTAGCTATTTTTGCTTTAATTAAAAAACACTGTTCGGCACATTTCCTGGAAATTATAGTACTGTGCAGTACAGGAAAAGAAATTATTTCAAGGAAAGTTGACTAGTCAACTGTATCCTGCTGCAGCTGAATTAAGTAGGAAGACAAGAATTAAAATATTGGGCTTGAGTACCAGCATTGAAATCCAGTGTGAATGAGAGAGATTATGTTTAATGGAAAGGTCTATTATAAACTATATTATGGCAAACATCTAAGTCCAAGACTAAAATTCAAATATATGCCAGAATAACTTGTTTTAGTAATACCTCTGTGCCATCCTCAGATCTAATCTATAATCTTCCATTTCTTATTGTCTTCCTTTTGTTTTTGAGTTTCCTCTTCTGCTAGTTATTATAGTTAGATTTTGTTATAACTGAAATAGTGGCATTCAGTTAATATAGCTCTTTTTCCTGAAAATTAATATAAAATAATGGTACTATTATTTGTATAAATATTTATTTAGTTTTATCTAACACATTCTCTTTGATTACTTTCAAGTTGTACAAAAACTGGATCCCAGCCAGACACAATGGCTTGTCCCTGTAATTCCAGCACTTTGCAAAGCCGAAGCGTGAGAATTGCCTGAGCCCAGGAGTTAGAGACCGGCCTGGGCAACATAGTAAGACTTTGTCTCTACAAATAATAATGAAAAAAAACCACCAAACCTCCTTCCCCTCTACCAAAAGTGGATCTACATAGGCTGTTATTTTTGGAGAGGAGCGACTAGAGAAGATGAGGAAGTAACTTTGCTTCTATAGTCAAAATTACATTTTAACTAAAATGCTTTAGTTAATTTACTCAAATTTTACATCCAAGGGTCAGCAAACTACCGGCTACATTCACAGCCTGTTTTTACATATAAAATTGTATTGGAACACATCTCTGCCCATTCCTTTGTGTAGCTTCTCTGGCAGCTTCATGCTGCAATGGTAGGGGTGAATAGCTGCATTAAAGACCATGGAACATGCAAGGCTGGCAGTATATTGTCTCAGGTCCTTTACAGAAAAGGTTAAAGCACTTTTAAAGCTTAAAGCTGATCACTGATTTAAAGCTTAAAGCAGAAGAGAAGTTATTAAGCAATAATAGAATTATGTTGAGATGTAGCAAAGACTAAGAAGCAAATATTTATTACATTAAGTCCCAAAACAAATATCGGTTATAAAAGCCTAAGAAAAATCCTTAGATTTTTAAGTCTTGTAGAATCTAAGTAACCATTCCCCTTATCTCCATATTATCTTTGGACCACTTCAGTAGTCTATTGAGATAGACTATTCCCATTCTGTTCTGGCAGAATAAATTTTCTACTCATAAATGCATAGGATTTTTTTTGTCTTTTCTTGAAGATTCATAAATTTTACATGAGCATAGATTTTGGTTGTAACTTTAGGTAACAGAACCCTGGCAGCTTCTTCTGGCCTGCCAGCATCCATAATCTTCCTCTATACCTAATGTCCCGTGACATCCCACAGGGATCAGATACTGAATTTAGCTTCTTTGTTTGTCTCAGTTCAGAAAATGAGTTGTTCATTGTTCTAAACTTGTTAGATGACTTATCCATGGCAATTTACAGGCTCTTGCTTATACACGCTGGGAACATATTAAGGGCATTGAGAAGCATAGAAAAGAAAAATACTAATTAAACTCCAACTCTAAAGATTCAAATATAGGGCTGTATCCCAGATTATTCATATACCACCAGCCAATGAGCAGGAGAATTATGTTCTTGACTGAATTTTAATATAAACTTATAAACCACATTTTCAAGATAAAAATCTAATCTTAGTTGATAAACTAAGCCTGATTATGTAAAAATTGTTCTAACTTAATAATATGAGTTTGGAGTTACAGAAAACACATTGGCTCCATGGTCAGATGGCTCTTCATTGAACCGTAGCTCTGTCATTCTCTAGCATTTCAAATGAGAGAAAATGACCTAAACTGTTGAGTCTCTCACCCATTGGGGATAATAATACCTGTGTTACGTGGTTGCTGTGAGAATTAATTTTAAGTATAGAGTTCCCGGCACTGTGTCAGACACACAGCACTTAGTACACGTGTGGTTTAGTAAATGTAGGTTCTTTTCCACTTTTTGTTTTTCTTCCCCAAGAGTAGGAAACAGCTGGTAGACCCAGTTAATCAAGATAATTAATATTGTTGATGAGCTAAATTCTCAACTTGACAGTTCCAGTAACAAATAACTAATGATAAATGGGTTGTGAATTGTGACAGAATTTACAACGACAGCATCAACAAAAACAAAGTACACAGAGGACAATGCTGGAATGGCGGTGCATACGATATCAGCGGGAAGTGGGTAGTTTTTGACTCACTGCAGTGCTGCCTAGATTTGGATCCAGGGACACCTGCAAATCCCATGGCATGTTCGTAGGGATCAGGAATTCTGATTTTTTTTTTCATTGTGATGATAATATTTTTAAATGTATTGTTTAAAGTGATAAAAATTTTCTTTTGCCATAATCATCTTCATGGAACTTTTTTTCATTGAACATTTTTCTTTTTTAATCTAAATCAATGTTTGGAAACATATACTTGGGGACCATTATACATATTATTTTCCCTTAGGTAGTTTTGGAAGCCATTGATTTTTACTGTTCTGACTTTTCAGAAAGGAAAGCGTAATGAGAATGTGTTAGTACAAGCATTAATAAAACATAGATTTAGATGTGGCTGTTGTCATAAAATCGTGGTGTCCCCACTCTTGTGAAATCAAACTGGACAGTTTGGGTACAAAAAAATGGAAATCAGTAGTTGATGCTAAGGACATTTGGGGAAAAATGTATTTTATTTTAAAAGTTGAACTACTAAGAGCAAGTATTTTACTAATATAGTGAAATTCACACAAAAGATCTTTGCCAAATGTCTTGCTCATTTTATAAATGGAATTTCCAGCAGAATTTTTTTACTTGAAAATGACATGACTGTTGGTTTTTCTCACCTGTCTTTTTCTGTTTTCATCTGTGCATAAAGTCATTCCTCTTTCTGTTCTGACTTTTTGCTGCCCATAGACATCCCAGTTACCAGTGTCCTTGAATTGATAGTGACTTCTGTTTGTCAGTCTCATATAAGAACTACAGCTCATCAGGAGGAGATCGCAGCAGGGTAAGAGACACCAACACCATGTTCTGCACGAAGCTCAAGGATCTCAAGATCACAGGAGAGTGTCCTTTCTCCTTACTGGCACCAGGTCAAGTTCCTAAAGAGTCTTCAGAGGAGGCCGCAGGAAGCTCAGAGATCTGCAGAGCAACTGTGCCCATCTGTCAAGACATTCCTGAGAAGAACATACAAGAAAGTCTTCCTCAAAGAAAAACCAGTCGGAGCCGAGTCTATCTTCATACTTTGGCAGAGAGTATTTGCAAACTGATTTTCCCAGAGGTGAGTGCTTGCCCTTTAGATTTTGAAATTGTAATACTTTGAAACTGTAATACTTTGAAACTAAAAAAGAATGTTTTTCTAAGGAAAATTTAAACACTTGCTTTCTCACTTTCAAGGCTACAATAAATGTAGACTGTTTCCTTGAAACACATAAAAATATTCTTTTAAAGCAATTGTTTAATCTGAACATGTTTATGATCTTGAATTCTTTTCAAAATAACACTGTATTCTGACAAACTTTATGATTTGGGGCAACTGGCAGACGTCTCTTTATGTCAGCTTCCTTATCCTTGAAGTGGAAATAATAATGGCAACTGCCTTCTAGAGTTTTAATGACTTTTAAGTAAAACCCTCCATAGCTCTTGCCATACCATAAGCTATCAGTAGTTGTTAGCTATTATTTTAAAATTAAGTTCTTCAAAGAATAACTTGTTTTCTGGTGGACTTTCATCTCTTAATTTTAAAGAGCATCATTTGATCCCTGCCAGTTTTCAGAGTTTGCCTATACCTATGTATTATTAGCTCTGATACTTCTTCAAATAGACCTTCAAGCTCCGTAGCATAGTGTCATGTTGAGATCTGGAGCAGCTTCTGTCAATCCACCTTTAAGGAAACTTCTGGGAACAGAACGTAGACCTAAACAGGTCAAATGTCTTAGGAATAGAGGGGACATGTAGAACGCTTCTCTCCCTCCACAAGATAAATAGAAGAGCAGTTGAAGGTCTTCATGATGTCTCCCTCCCTATATCAGTCTTCATAGTTTTATATAGATTTGTTTAACCTATGAAATTGGCTGAACATTAACTTAATCAGACAATAGCTAACATAACACATTGATAATTTTTAATTGGCTCAATATCAACACTCTACTGTGTGCAAAACACCAAAGAAACACAGACTGCCTGATTTTCAGAACTGAAAGGAATTTCACAGATAATCTTGTTTCACTCCCAGGAAATACTTGGGAAATTCAGAGATTTGACCAAAGTTATACAACTTTGAAAGGGTAGAGCAATTAATTACTGCGGTAAACAATCCAGGTTGGAATAACTGAGGAAGAAGAAACTTAAAAATTGAAGTTTGAAGAATGGATAAATTAGACTTAGCAGAAAGTTGATATTTCAGATATGATATTGACACAATAGTACTTTGGCTGATAACCTTTGAAATGGAAATGCTTAATTATTCTTACCCCACTCTAGTTTCTAGACAGCCAGAATTGGCTAGAGACAACTAGCCCTCCTTAGGGAGTTGGTTTGTGGCACAGTCTGGGAAACAATCAATGCTCTCATTTCCAAGGACAGAGTGAAATGAACAGAAACGAACAGATGGTGGTGATGAGGCAGGTTGATAGCGTCTATGCTTTTCCTAAATCCTGTCATTACTATGTTGGCTTCATTATTTTGTTTGATAGATTTTGAATTTCTACAATGGAAGTCATACACATATTGGACTCTTTTTTAAAAAACATTCTGGTTTACTTGCTGTTGCTCCCAAAAGTTCCACAGGCTTCCTTCAACATTTTTCATTCATTTTCCTTTTCAATCTTCTGACCGAATAACTTCAAATGACCTCTCTTTGAATTTGCTGATTTTTCAACTTGATTAAGTCTGCTGTAGAGGCTTTCCATTGAATTTTTCAGTTTAGTTATTCTACTATTCTTTCATTCCAGAATTTTGGCTTGGTTCTATATTTGTGGTTACCTCTTTGTTGATATTTGCATTTTGTTCATGCATATTTTTCTGATTTTATTTCGTTGTCTATCTGTGTTTTCTTATAACTCACTGAATTTCATCACTTTGAATTTTTTTGTCATTTAACTCATTGTTCTTCATTTCTTTAGGGTAAGTTACTGTAGATTTATTTATTTATTTATTTGGTTGTGTCATATTTCCCTGATTTTTTTCTGTTCCTTATAGCTTTGCATTGGTGCCTGCACACTTGAATATGCAGTCACCTCTTTCATTCTCTGCAGACTAGCTTTTACAGGAAAAGACTTTCGGCAGTTGGCTCAGCTAGAGATTTTGAAAGCCTCTCAAACATTTTCTAGGGATGTGCATGTTCCATAACTCTTTTTTCCTGCTGAGGGAGAAGTTTCAGGGTGATGTCCTTTCTCCCGATCCTGAAGAGCCATACTGGCTGCTGAAATTCCCTTCTCTTTTTCCTAGGAAAATATACGGAAAGACTAGGATGCAATACCAAATTTAAGTTCTGTGTGTGTGTGTGTGTGTATGTGTATATAAATATATATATATAATTTAGTAGTTTGTTGTTTGTTCATGAGTTTATAAGAATAATCGTTAAGATTTTACTACAGTGTCATGTAACAGAGAGGGCAAGACTATGGGAGATGGAAGAGGTATGTTTGGCATCAGTGACAAAAACTCCTCTCCAACTGAAACATTATGCTTATTTGGAAAATATTCCAGTGTTGAATACATTTGAGCTGTGTAGTAATCAGTCTAGATAACTTCAAACATCTACTTATCTTTGAAAATACCTGTTATGTGTTTTTTTAGTGTTTTTTTCTGATTATTTGTTAAGTTTATAGATTTAATGCTTAAACTACTATTTAGTTTCAGTTATATTAATAATTCAAAGTAAGACTTAAGATAGCATTTGACATCACAATTTTTGTTTTAAATAATCAGAATTAACTTCCTGATTATATTTTTGTTAGTGAACAGGCAAGTATAAAAATGTATTTTCCTTAGGAAATGTAACAAGTGAGAGGTCATTCCTGATGTAATTATACATTCCTGAGTAATGGAATACTAGAGCTTTAAAAAGGCTTCTCGATCATGTGATGCAAACTTTTCATTTATATTTTAAGAAATGGAGGCACATAAATTTAGATCTCTTGCTTAAAGCAAAAGGTAACTGGAGAAATGAAAAACTCTCTGTATTTTATTCATAATTGATTGCTCTTCCTAACATAATATAATATAATGTAATATATTATAATATTGTTTGATCTTTTTTCATGGATATTGTTTCCCGTAATTCTGTAAGTTCCTTCAGGCTTGCAGAATTATTGTAAGGATCTTGAAGACCTTGTAATCAATGTCTTGAGGAAGTTTTTAATGGATCCACAGTCGCAGCAAATCAAAATCACTTACTGAATTGAGTCCATTGAATTGGACATGCTTACATAAATGATAAGACCCCAAATCAAGTACTTTGTAAGAATAGGAGGATTTGAAGGAATTATGAGATCTGTAGGTGTGTTCTAGTGTATTAGGTTGCAAGAAGAAAAAAAGAAACAGTACTACAATTTATCTTATGAATTAAAATATCCTTGGTCTAGAAAAACATTAACACTGTAAAAAAGCTAAAAAGCTATTGAAAATAGTGACTTATCCATAAATCACACCAATGAAATTTCATTAATTAAAATTCACATTGTTGACAGCAACATTGCATCAAATAACAGTTATTCCTGAAGTATTCATATATGGTATATTTGTGGCAAAAGTAGATGTTTTAACAATTTAATCAGATCTATTCTTTATGAAGCCAAAAGATAATTGTTTAGTCAAGAGAAACAAACTTGAAAGCATTACAGACTATTTGCTTTGAGTGACAAGTGTCCCCTCTGTGAATCAGAAAGTCCGCAATCTACAACACTTCAGGGTCTAGTGGTTATACAAATAGGAAATAATTTCTCCAAAATTCAAAACGAAGGCTTTCCCAAATAGTAGGGCATTTTAATGATAGACAACTAAAAGATCTACAAAACACTGCTACACAATATTTAAATATCTTGAGCTATAAGAAGTTAATTTGGAAGGAAATACTGGATTTAGTTCTAAAATCTGAAACCAAAAATTAATATGTAGAATTGTTGGGATATAGAGCAGTCCTGAAATGGTTGGTGTCATGAGTTCATCAGGTTGGCCGTGTGTGACAGATCTCACTTATGGTTGAGTCTTATTTATAATTTTATTGTGGACTCACATGATCTCAGGGTCAGGATATATCGCAGGAAATACAGCACCAGTGTAGAAAACTTGATGCACCAGCAGCCTTTACCAAGAAATATTCTGCCTGGAAAACATGTGAGTTCTGTTTCATAGGGGTTTTGTTTTGCTGGAAAATTTACAAAAATTTTTCAGAGGAGCAATGGTGTAAGATGAATGTAGATTCCCATAAAAGCCTATTCTCTCATATTATCAGTCAGGTATGCTACCAATGCTTTGCTCCAACTTTGTTTCTTTTTTCTTTAGGAAAATAAGTTTTGATTCAAAATGGAAAGCCAAAAATACATTTGCTCTACCAACCCTAGCAATTGGAAGGAGACCATTTCTTCTCCCCGTTACAATTATAATGTATATGTTAGAAGGAAAGGACCAGAAAAAAAGACATTTCTGATGGCAATAGGAAGGAAATGAAAGACAAATAAGCATGTTGACTAAAAGAGAAAAAGAGTATACCCAATGGCTTAATCAGAGATGTAAAGAAGAGTGGAATATCTCCAGTAGCGTTGAAGAGGAAGAGGAAAACATTCTTCAGTGGCAGAATTGGTTGAGTTTTCTTTCTTCATGGTCCATAAAAGGTTCCTGGTTAGGGCAAGCATGGTGGCTCATACCTATAGTCGCAGCTACTTGGGAGGTTGAGGCAAGAGGATCACTTGAGCTCAGGAGTTCTTGGCTACAGTGAACTGTCATCACCACTGCACTCCAGCCTGGATAACAGAGCAAAACTCTATATCCAAAAAAAAAAGTTCCTGGTCCGAGAAGCAATTGATATATATAAACAAATATAATTGAAATAGTTTACATTGGAAACAACCTAAATTTGTTTGTAAACAGGGTACGAGAGAAACACCTCTGTATTTGGCTTTTTTACTTCACAGATGAAGTTTTGTAGATTAAGCCACCTGCCAGTGGCTGGCAGGTGAACATCATTCATTCATTCATTCAGTAAATATGTATTGAACATCTCCTAGGAGTAGGTACTATTGTAGGTTCTGGACATAGAGGGGTAAACAAAACAGAAACTCTCTGCCCTTTTGGAGCTTCTACTGTAATGGAAAACAGATTATGGCAAATTTACAAAGTTGGGGAGCAAATGCTATGAAGGAAAACTGAGAGCTCAAGCACAAAGGCAGCAACTTTTATTTTATTGAAGATTTCTTTTTTCATATGAATATATTTTTGCAGGAGGAAAGAACTCAGAGCCACCCATGCTTTCATGAATCTGTATCCACATTAATACTGTGTTACTGGAGTAGCTTTCCACTGCACCAAGTTTAAATATTTCAAGCACCCTGACTGATTTACTTCATGTACAGTATCCCTACTTTAATGTTGCCTTCCTTTTTCTTCGATGAGAAAGATGTCTAGGAAATATGCCCATAGTTTCTTTCTCCAACATATTCCTCAACTGCCCTCTGCCTTTACATAGCCCACCAGGACCTGCTCCAAATCTGCCCCATGGGTGTGTCTTCCACCAGCTTTTCTTTCATTCTGTGGCATATGTTATCCTTTCTCTATATATCTGTACAGTCTGAAAAATTGTTCCACATTGTAAATATAATTCTCTTTCTCTTTCATTTCTTTTTAGCGATTGTATTTTCTTTCAAGACATTTTTAAATTTTCTTTCTAAGCTTTGTATATGCATATTTAAAACTAAAAGCCCTTTTCATAACTCATTTCATTAAAACAGAACATATTTCTATTTTGGTTTACTCCAGTACCTCATTTGACTAGTGGAAACTCTACAAGAGATATAAATAGGTCTTAAGGAAAAAGGAATTTCTCAACTTGGAACAGAAAAAATTTTCACTTTCCTCTGGGCAAACTATAGAAAGAATCAATGGTTCTCTATATATAATATATGGTTATACATATATAGGTATATATATATATGTAGAGAGAGAGATACACACACATAGATACATATGATTTTTACATGGAATGTAAAAAAAATGGACAACACAGCTTATCAATGCTCTACTTTCCGCTTATTAGAGACATTATAGATACTAAAGTACTATTTATTTACTAATAAATTTAATAAATAAATAGTATTTATTAAATATAAAAGCTTACATACAAATGTCTTGCAAAGTAGGAATACTCATGAAATTCTCAGAATCAATAAAAGAAAATAAAACCATAGTATTTGATGAGAATTATTGATTCAAAGAAAGGAAATTGGTCTAAGCTATGGTAAACCCAAGGCTTATTTCAAATAAATGATCAATTAACTTTGGTGACAGATTAGATATAAGAGATTAAAAAAAAAGGAGGAGACAGAGATAATTCCAGAGTTTGCTAAACAAGAAGATGATATGAATGTATAGTTAAGGGCAGAGAGTCACTGGGGCAGCTGAGTGTGGAGTTTGTGAAAGGAAGAGAAATTTGCTTGGCTTTGTCCATGCTGAGGCTAATGTGTTGGCCACCCATCCAGAGGGCTTTTCTGACCCACAGGAAGTGATGCCCATGGAATCCTTATTACAGAAGACCTAACGCTACGAAACTGAAGTCTTCTGTTTGGATACACACTCAGCTCAACTGTTCTGTGGCTGTCAATGAGACTACCACCAAAGGCTAAACCTGTGGGCAGCAGCACATATCCAGTCTCAGATTAGTCTTAGCTCATTGTTTTTTCTCCAGTTTGAAAACACAGAAAAATCCAAAATCAATGTTGTGAGTTTTCAAGGTGAATCACAACATTGATCGTTCAAGCAGTTTTATAATGTTTTTGCTTCTCTAAAATCTTCAGGATGCATTTTTAAATATATATTTTCAAACGAGCTATTATTTAAGGGAATGTTTAAAACATTTCTTTTGAACTTTCAGTTTGAACGGCTGAATCTTGCACTTCAGAGAACATTGGCAAAGCACAAGATTAAAGAAAGCAGGTAAGTCAAATCACTTTAGCTGTGTGAACCTCTTATTACAAAGACTGCTACTATTGGCCAGCACTTACTGAATGTGTCAAATGTCAGAAACTGGACTTAGCTCTTTAGCTGATACTAATTTGAAAGTGAGTGCATCTGTTTTTCACATTTTATAACTGATGAAACTCAGGTTGGTATGAAATGTTTAGAATTGTTTAGCTGTTTAAGGAAAAGACAGAGCTGGCATTCAAGCCTGGGTTTTTCAGAGCCCATTATTTTAAGCATGCGGTAATAGACTGCTGCTTTAACAAGCTCCCACAAGACCTATTCTTCTATACTAATGGGTAACTTCTAAAATATTTAACAACAAATAAGTCATGGATCCCAAACTATCAGAACAGGCTTCTTACCTGAAGGATACTGCAGAAGTCTTGAGCAGGGTCCCAGCAGGTACCCCGTCCCCAACACACACCTCAACAACATGTTAACCCTTTAGTATCCGCATCAGGAGGACGTAGAAGGATCAAGGGCTTAAGAGGAGGGGGACTTGGGGTTCTGTGGGTAGCAGGTGTTTATCCTTGGGGAAGTGTTCCAGAATTCTTATAACTAGTTTGGTTACATGGGTGAACATCAGTTTTGTTTATACTTTTTTTACTGTATTCTGAAATTTTCCTTTAAAGGGTTACTTTTTTTTTCTTTTAAGAAACAGGATCTCGCTCTGTCATCCAGGCTGGAATGCAGTGGTGTGATCATAGGTTACTGCTGCCTGGAACTCAGGGGCTCAAGCTGTCCTTCTGCTTTGGCCTCCCAAAAAGCTGAGATTACAGGCATGGGCCTAAAGTTACTATTTTTTTTTTTTTGAGACGGAGTCTTGCTCTGTTGCCCAGGCTGGAGTGCAGTGGTACAATCTTGGCTCACTGCAACCTCTACCTCCCTGGCTCAAGCAATTTTCCCACATCAACCTCTCAAGTTGCTGAGACGACAGACACACGCCACTACACCCAGCTATTTTTTTTTTTTTTCGGTAGAGACAGGGTTTTTCCATGTTGCTCAAGTTGATCTTAAACTCATAAACTCAAGCTTTCACCAGCTTTGACCTCCCAAACTGCTAGGATTACAGGCATGTCCCACCATGCCTGGCCTCTAAAGTTACATTTTAAAAATCTAATTTATTTAGTGAATTATACAATTTAGCACATTTACTGCTGACAGAAAATGTAATAGAAGCTGGGCATAGTGGCTCACGCCTATAATCCCAGTACTTTGGGAGGCCAAGGTGGGTGGATCACCTGTGGTCATGAGTTTGAGAGCAGCCTGGCCAATATGGTGAAGCTCCATCTCTACTAAAAGCACTAAAATTAGCCAGACATGGTGGCAGGTGCTTGTAATCCCAGCTACTCAGGAGACTGGGTCAGGAGAATCACCTGAACCCAGGAAGCAGAGGTTGCAGTGAACTGAGATCGCACCACTGCACTCCAACCTGGGAGACAGAGTGAAACTCTGTCTCAAAAAAAAAAAAAAAAAAAGTAATAGGCCTCGTTTTCAATTCCCTGAAATTTTAAGGATTATTTAGTTAATAAATAACAGAATAAATGCTGGTGTTCAAATTTGCAGAAGTGAACTTCGAAGTTTTACAAACCAGTACTGTTGTCAGGAATGTTTTATCAATTAATTCATCTGTCTCCTACTCATGAGTGATCATGCTGTGGATTTTATGTGCTTCAGTTTCCTTGCTCACTAACTAGTCCCAGACTGCAGGCAGCAGGACCAAGCCAAGAAGCAGTCATGGACAGGTCCAGAAGGAGAGAGTGTGAATCTATGTGTCTGACAGAAGCTTTGTTTACTTACACAAGTAATGTGAAAAGCATTCCAGAATTCCTCTGACCTTAATTCCCAGTCAAGCTGATAAGATAGCCTCAAGTCTCTCCCTGTGCTACTGTGTCTGTCTGCTTAAGTCCTTGGCAGCCAGTTTATTCAAAATTTATTCTCAGGGCTTTGTGTTCTGAATTGTTCCTGCAGCTTCTTGTAATACTAAGTTATGATGTGTTTCCAGCAGTATATCTCTCAAAATGATCTCAAAACTTAAGCAAACAATAATTACTTTTTGGAAATTTTGAAATTTTTTTGGCACTTCCCTGATTTCCCTAAAAAAAAATTAAATAAATAAAAAGGAATTCTGGTTATACTTTAAATTGTCTTGATGAGAACTATTCAGTTGTTGAAACAAGATTTTGCTCATAAGCCTGCCTGCTGTTATGTTAAGTGGCTCCTCTGTGCTTTTTTAGTTTTGGGGTATCCTCTGGTTTATGCTTTTTACTTCACTTTCCTGTTGGCAAGTCACGGCCAATTTTATTGCTGTCAGTTTTCCAGCTGTTGGACACACCTTAACCCCTTTTTTGCTGCTTATTCTCCTAAATGAACTGAGAAACAAAAATCCAGTATATCAACCAATAAGCTTCCCTTGAATGAAGGACTAGAGCCACCCGCTTCACCTCTTCTTTTCAGTGAATGAGTTTTAGTACAGCTATGATATCTCTCAGGATTGGTCGCCCACAGAGTTCTTGTCTAGTTTCTTTTTCTGGGATCTTTTGATGACATCATTATATGTATGAACTCATGCTGGGGTATGTGTGTGTGTGTGTGTGTGTGTGTGTGTGTGTATTTGAGGTACACATGTGTTTGCTGGTGCATGTGCAATACTTACACCCACTTGTGTTTTTTAGAGATGAGAGTAGGAATTGTAGTTTGAATTGCACTATGTGCTATTTGGACTAACTGAGCTTCGCTCACGTGGCAGATTTTGTCATATCACTCATCGCTATCAGAAATCATCACTAACAATTAGGCAAGTTGTGAATCCACAAGTTGCGCAGTTAAAACTGCAAAAACCTCGTATCAGTAAAAATGTAGGCTGTTATATTTCAATTTCTATGCTGTAAAAACAAGTGCAGTAATTGAATGAAGAATAGGCTTCTTTCATTACTAATTTCTATATAAAATCAAGGATAAAAGTTTAATATAATGATATCTGAGAGATAAATAGAGCCTTAGACTAAGAAGCAAAAGATTCTATGTATTTGCTTTAGGAAGATACACAGTATTACTTAAAAGTGAAATCTATCTGCATGTACGTTTTTCTTGGTTATCAGCATTACCATCCTCTTCTTGGCCACTTCACATTGAGGTTGCTAGCCAGGGAAGCTTCTCTTTAGTACGGAGGCTCCTTGACTTACAATGGGGTTACGGCCAGATAAACCTGTTATAACTTGAAAACACCCTGAGTTGAAATGCACTGAACACGCTTAACGTGCTGAATAGCTTAGCCTTGTCTACCTTACACATGGTCAGCAATTTAAAGTAGCCTACATTTGGGCAAAATCATCTGTCCACACAGTGCACTGGAGAGTACTGGTTGTATACCTTCACGATTTCATAGCCACGTGAGAGCTGTGACACCTTGCCACTGTCCAGCATCACACGAGAGCATTGTACTCCATACCTGCAGCATGGGAGCAAAATCAAAATGCAAACTTTGAAGTACAGTTTTTACTGAATACTTACAGCTTTTGCACCTAGATAAGGTAAAAAATAAAAATTTTAAATTTTAAAAAGTCTTAGGTCTGAGACTGTCTGTTATTCTATGTAAAGTTCACTTAAAAGGTAAATATTCCATATGAAGAATAACAAAACATTCTATGTCATGTATATTTTGGGGTTTCCCAACATTCTTCTGGATGGTACAAGTCATTGCTCCTTTCCCGTAAACTTGATAGTTAAGATTTGCTTCTACAGGAAAGGTAAACTATTTTCTATCATTATTTCTCTATATTACAATCTGAACTTTTAGCATGTATTTATGAGTTTATAACTTAAAATATTGAAATATTTCCAGGAAATATTTGGAAAGAGAAGACTTTGAAAAAATAATTGCAGAACAAGCAGTTGCAGCAGGTAATAATAGAATTGTTTACTTAATTAGAAAGTAGACCATATGCCTGTAAAACACTTTCTCCAAAACTATTCATATTTATTTGTTGGTGACTCTCAGTATGAAGCGTTCAATATTATGCATTCTGTGAATGTGAAGAGTAACTCTTCTTCATACTGCTTGTTTTTGTTTGACCTAAAGCATTTTCTCTGTTAATGTTTACTTGCTGAGAAGTAGATAAGGCTGGATGGGAAGCTGACACTCACAGACATTCACAGGCTTAGATCTTAAACCTAACTAAGTGTTCCTCTTTTATGCATGAAAAGTTCTAGTCAACAAAATAATAAAGAATACTTAAAAATTAGGAGCAATCATGGGAAAAAAGTTAACAGTGTTCTCACATTAATAATTAGACAGAAAAAAATGAAGTGTGACTTTGTCTTACTGTCCTTTCCAAAGTTTTAGTACATGAACCAAGAGGTTGCATCTTTCTACAAGTGTAAGATATTGACGATGATAATAATAATAATGGCTAACATGTATTGAGGCCCTTCTAGGAGCAAGGCCCTATTCTGAACATAAGCCCCACACATTACAACAGTGCTATGAAGGGGACACTGTTCTCTATACCCTATTACAGATAAGAAAATGTGATACTCAGAGGGTAAAGAATAAAGGAGATTATAGACTGGGAAGATCATGCAGAGCACCCTTGACGTAACTAAGTCCATCTTTAAAAAAGACTCTATTTTGTATTTTGTAGGGCATTTTGCCAATAAAAATAACATGTTTTATTTAATAAACAAATTTTAAAAAATAAAAACTATATAAAACCAGCTAAAAATACAAACACACTTTTCTACTATCAGTTCTCACCAGAGGACTCTGTAACTATAAAAAAATTAAACTTTCAACAACTCAAGACGGCCATCCTAACTGACACCTTCTTACATTCACTTGTGATAAAAACTTGACATCTGCCACCTTGAAGAGTCTTCCTTATAAGACCAACAGATGGGCCAGCCCAAACCAAGGCTCCTTTTGTCTTCTTCATGATACCAACCCTAGTTTGTTAATTCTTTCTCCTATCTCTTTTTCCTTTTGATGTTACATGTTATTTTGTTATACAATATTTAATCTATAACATTTCTATTTTCTATATTAATTAAGCATACTATTATGTATAGTTTACGATATTAACTGACTGGTGGAGTGACTTGAGCCTGTGTGCCTGTAGCCCTAAGAAGCGAGTAAACAAAAGGTACTACAAAAATTGCCTCTTGGTAAGATGCAGTGGTTCACACCTGTAATCCCAGCACTTTAGGAGGCTGAGGAGGGCAGATCACCTGAAGTCAGGAGTTCGAGACCAGCCTGGCCAACATGAGGAATACTCGTCTCTAGTAAGAATGTATATATATAACAGCTGGGCGTGGTCGTGTGCACCTCTAGTTCCAGCTACTCTGGAGGCTGAGACATTAGAATTGCCTGCGGGAGGCAGAAGTTGCAGAGAGCCGAGATTGCACCACTGCACTCCAGCCTGGGCAGCACAGCAAGACTTTGTCTCAAAAAAAAAAAAAAAAAATGCCTTCTTAAAAGCTTTGTGTAACTCATAATTTTTATAATAAAAAATAATACCAATAAAAGCCTAACATTGTAAAAAGACACAGATATGCATAGGCTTGATTATTTCTAACCTTATGCCAGTCGTGAAGATGCTATAGAAAGTAAATTATATATTCCAAGCAGATATTAATTCAGCTAACACTAAACAACAAGAATTCTATTTTACTCAGGAAAAAAATGCTTTATCATCATTTCTAGACAAAATTGAGTTTCATAACCAGTAATTTTAAATTAACTCCAGTATCTGACCCTTTTGCTGCTGGAAACCCTTAGAAGGGAAGAACCTCTTCGTGAGGATGGATTGCTTTTGTTTTTAACAGAAAATTGGAGGACTTTTGCCAAAATGTACTTAATATTAGAATCCAAGTTGTTCTTTTATAGTTAGATTTCAGGGAGATAATAAGTTGTGTATTATACTCAACTGGTCATTCTTTTTTAACTTGGAATTTTTCTTCAGTTACTAGAATTTTAGAAGCTAACCTAGGTATATATTTGGATATAAGGGTTTCATTTTGGTTGGAAATATTATTTTCAGATATAAGAGGAGCTAAATCAGCAACTAACACAAGTTGAAAATTGGAATAACAGCACAGCTTTACCAAGGTGGTGTATTTGATATGGCAGAACATGTATTCTGTGATTTCAGGAGTTCCAGTGGAGATCATCAAAGAATCTCTTGGTGAAGAGCTTTTTAAAATATGTTATGAGGAAGATGAAAACATCCTAGGAGTGGTTGGAGGCACCCTGAAAGATTTTTTAAACAGCTTTAGTACCCTTCTGAAACAGAGCAGCCATTGCCAAGAAGCAGGAAAAAGGGGCAGGCTTGAGGATGCCTCCATTCTGTGCCTGGATAAGGAGGACAATTTTTTACATGTTTACTACTTCTTCCCTAAGAGAACCACATCCCTGCTTCTTCCCGGCATCATAAAGGCAGCTGCTCATGTATTATATGAAACTGAAGTAGAAGTGTCATTAATGCCTCCCTGCTTCCATAATGATTGCAGCGAGTTTGTGAATCAGCCCTATTTGTTGTACTACGTTCATGTGAAAAGCACCAAACCATCCCTGTCCCCGAGCAAACCCCAGTCCTCGCTGGTGATTCCCACATCGCTCTTCTGCAAGACATTTCCATTCCATTTCATGTTTGACAAAGATATGACAATTCTGCAATTTGGCAATGGCATTAGAAGGCTGATGAACAGGAGAGACTTTCAAGGAAAGCCTAACTTTGAAGAATTCTTTGAAATTCTGACTCCAAAAATCAACCAGACGTTTAGCGGGATCATGACTATGTTGAATATGCAGTTTGTTGTGCGAGTGAGGAGATGGGACAACTCTGTGAAGAAATCTTCAAGGGTAAGGAAAATATAATATTATCTTGAATATGAAAGTTATTTTATATTTAACAGCAAGAAACCAAAAGGTAAAAATATGTGCATCACTTCAAATTTTTGATAAAACATGTTTGAAACAACTGTAAAAGAATTGTAACACGAATCAACTTAACACAGAATTCTTTCTGCATTGGTTTGCTTACTTGATTCATTACTCCAAAAATATTTATTGGATGCAGTCTGCCTTTTAATATCTTTATGGAGTGTTTTATAATGAAATTTTATAAGTGTTTATATAAATATATTTTCAAGTATCAAATACTTGACTTAGATTGAATAATAAGAGGTATTATTTTATAACAAACAAAAGTCTACCTGTTTCTTGTAGGAGGCAACTAAATGGATTTTTAATCAGCATTTATTAGCCAGGAAAAAAACAAATAATTTATCTGATTGTTGCCGAATGTAGAGATTAAAACATATTCTGTCATCTCATGGTAGAGAACTCCGGAATTATTTAGTCTCAGGAAAGAAAGTTTGCTAACTCATAGTTGATCATACAAGCAAAGCTAGGAGAGAGGCTTCACACATGTATAAAACGCCAGCAGAAGCACTGTTTGTTTCCCAAAAGGAAAACAGATCTATTGCTTTTCTATCATAAAATAATGAATAATTTAAAAATGAGTAATATGGAAAGATACTTATTGTAGCAAAAAATTAAAAACTAAATATACATTTTTGTTTAAAATAAAAAATACTATTTTACAACTTATTTTATCAAGAAACAATATATCTTTTGCATCTTCCCATGTCATAAGATATAGGTCTATTCAGCTTTCTTGGAGTCTCAGTGGTATTCCATTATGTGGTTGTGCACTACTTCATTTTACTTATTTATTTATTTAGAGACAGAATCTTTCTCTATCACCCAGGCTGGAGTGCAGTGGTGTGATCTCAGCTCACTACAACCTCCACCTCCAGGGTTCAAGCAATTCTTCTGCCTCAGCCTCCAGAGTAGCTGGGATTATAGGCATGCACCACCACACCAGGCTAATTTTTGTATCTTTTAGTAGAGGCGGGGTTTAGCCACGTTGCCCAGACTGGTCTTGAACTCCTGACCTCAGGTGATCCTCCCACCTCGGCTCCCCAGGCTCTACTTTATTTAACTAGTTCCCTATGGAAGGGTGCCTCAGTTGCTTTTGGCTTTTTGCTGCAAGAACATACATGCACATCTTCGTCCACACGTATGCAAGTAAATCTTCTTGTGGTCCAGTATGATCGCTTGAAGCCCCATCTCTCTCACATCCCCCTGGGTGCAGTCCTTTCTACTGGCTGGTTTGTTCTTTTATTTATGTAGCAGATGGCAGGGTTCCTCAGGTTCTGAAGGCACAGCTGAAATGGGGAAGTGGCCTCTCCTAAAAGATTCAGATAACGCAAGCTGAAGTCTCTGGAAAAATAGTGACTTCCAAAAGGTAGTTCTGGAGAGCTATTCATACAGAAAAAATAAATTAGGATAAAAATCATACCTTTGGAGGCTTTTTAACTTCCATACCTGCCAGATGGAGCAAGTACTAATGGGAGAAGTGGAGAAGAGAAGAGAAACATGCTGAAAGAGGAGGAAACCAAAAAAATAGAACAAAAAAAAGTAAAAGGGAGGGAGGGAAGGAGCAAGAGAGGAAGAATCCATTTTCATGAGAACTATATTATACAAAAAAATAGAACTTCAGATTAACCAAGTGAGACTACTAACAAGAATTTACTAGCAAAAGCATCAGCATGCTGCTTAGCGAGAAAGCAAGAGCATTTTACATTGTTCATTGCAAATCTTGATTTCTCTGTATACTCCAGTATACTCTTCAAACATCTGCATGCAGTTTAGAACTCAGGGCAAACTGGAAATATAAGAAAGCAAATTGTCCTGTAATCCCAGCACTTTGGGAGGCTGAGGCGGGTGGATCACGAGGTCAAGAGATTGAAACCATCGTGGTCAACATGGTGAAACCCCTTCTCCACTAAAAATGCAAAAAATTAGCTGGGCATGGTGGTGCGTGCCTGTAATCCCAGCTACTCAGGAGGCTGAGGCAGGAGAATTGCCTGAATCCAGGAGGCAGAGGTTGCAGTGAGCCGAGATCGCGCCATTGCACTCCAGCCTGGGTAATAAGAACGAAACTCCGTCTCAAAAAAAAGAAAGCAAATTGTTCCTTTTCAGTAGGTTGAGAAAAAAAGAGTTTAAACACAAAGGGATTTTCACTGTATCTACTTCCCCTTCTTTTGTCTCAGAAAGGCGTTGGAAACTTGAATAAACCACAATCGGTTCTCCTTTCCTTCATAGGTTATGGACCTCAAAGGCCAAATGATCTACATTGTTGAATCCAGTGCAATCTTGTTTTTGGGTTCACCCTGTGTGGACAGATTAGAAGATTTTACAGGCCGAGGGCTCTACCTCTCAGACATCCCAATTCACAATGCACTGAGGGATGTGGTCTTGATAGGGGAACAAGCCCGAGCTCAAGATGGCCTGAAGAAGAGGCTGGGGAAGCTGAAGGCCACTCTTGAGCAAGCCCACCAAGCCCTGGAAGAGGAGAAGAAAAAGACAGTAGATCTTTTGTGCTCCATATTTCCCTGTGAGGTTGCTCAGCAGCTATGGCAAGGGCAAGTTGTGCAAGCCAAGAAGTTCAGTAATGTCACCATGCTCTTCTCAGACATCGTTGGGTTCACTGCCATCTGCTCCCAGTGCTCACCACTGCAGGTCATCACCATGCTCAATGCACTCTACACTCTCTTTGACCAGCAGTGTGGAGAGCTGGATGTCTACAAGGTAAGGGCGAAGCAGGGCAATGATCATTTCACTGGCAAACTCACTGAGGAACAAGTACTGTGCCTAGGACTTGAATTATAATGCAGCGGAAAAGGCCACCTCTGTAGGGTCTTGCAAGCCCAGTCCTGGGAGCAGGTATGGTGCATTCACTATGTGGGTGTTTTCCAGCCAGAAACAGCTCCGGATCTGCCCAGAAACAGAGATAATTCTTCCGTGAAAGGACTGGCACACTGTCTTCTCAAAGAATGAGCAGAGAATGGAGAGAGGATAGGGTGCTCAAGGAATGGAGGATGGGGTGTAGGACGTGTGAATAGGAGAAGTTTAATAGTCAATGAGCCTGCCACTTCACTGCGGAAACCGAGTTGAATTATTAAGCATGAGATAATTCAAAGTATGGCTTATCCCAGGAAATATTATCCTTTGTATCTGTAAAAGTAAAGACACATGAGGATTATAAAAATTGCCTTTAAATAGATTACTTCAGCACAGAGTTAATGTGATACTTTTCATGGCCAGTTAACAGAAATCAAAATCACCTACTTAAGGCATTTTTGCAGCTTAGCTAAGGGCGGAGACAGTTGAAAAAGAAAGACCTATCTTCAAATCTTCTTCTCCGCCTTCCTTGCTCGGTAAACTGAGAAAGTTAAAAAACCTTTCCCATCACCTCTAAGACAGAGAAAACAACGGTCACTCACAGAGTTTATATACATGAATAACACACATTATGTCCCATAATCTTCATGAACAGGATTGTTATAAAGCTAATGTTAGATAATATGTGGTATCCATCAGCCATAGAGGATGAGCCAGGCATCATTGCAGGCTCTGGCGATACAGCAGCGACCATCCCTGATACCTTTTTTATTTTTTTTATTATAGCTACTATTAGACTATTAGTATGAGAGCTAATGAAGAGATTTCAAGTTCTGCCTGCTTCTTTAAAATGAAAACAGTTTTTACTGATTTAAATGACTTTGCTTTCTTTTAGATATTGGGACTAAGAATAAAGCATATTTCTCATTTGTGTGGCTTGAAACATCCGTCTTCTTAACTTGCCACATAAGAAGCTGACATTTCAGAGCCAAACTCAACAGGAAATAAATATATTATTGAGGAAGAAACAAATATTATTCCTGATAATACATAAGCTTTTGTCTTGTTTTGTTCTAGATTTAGAAGTAAAACCTGATTTTTTAAAATTCCAAACAGGAAATTCCAAACAGAGCCATGATTCCCTTGGGAAAAAAAGAGGTCCATGTATAGTTACAGATAAAATAATTGGCTTCAGTTAGGTTGTTTCATGGCCTCTTGTGGAATTTACTGTATTTATTTGTAGACGTTTTCTATCTTGAGACTGTCTCCTTTCTCAGAAGTGTGAGAAGGAAGTTTTTCTTCCTTACAAACTGCTTTAATTGCTAACAGAAGAAGTAGCAATTAATTACTACTTTTAAATTTCTACTTTTTGTTTTTTCTATCAAGGGTATAATTTTAAAATATCCTAACAAGCATATTGAAACTATGCTGCTCATTAAAGACAACAGCCACAGAGTTCCCTGATGAATCTAACTATAAAGCTGTAGCTATATAGTAAATTGCCTTCCATTTCAGTCCTCATTTCTACGTTCTCTTCACTGCTGATATTGCTTCAGATTACTTGGACATAGCTGAAAATAAATATGGAAGGGTTTCAGATATACAAAATGTATAATTGTAGTGCCAATGGCTTCGAAAAAATAGTCAACCTTATTTATTCTAGAACTTGATTATACTTTAATTTTTTATTTATTAGGGCTTTATTTTAATTTTAGGGCTTTATTTAATTTTATTAAATAGTACAGAAATAATATATGTAAATATATAATGTATAAATTATTATATAGCCCTAAATTAAAATAGGGGTTTTTTAAATTTTATTTTCTCTCTGTCTTCCTCGGTTATTTTTTTGGCCATTTTTCTATTTCTTTCTGTGTTCATTTACCCATTGTTTCAATCAATATGTACTGGATATCCAGAATCTGCCAGCATGGGTGTGCAATGGCTTGAGAGCTAGAGGGTACAATCCCTGTGAGAACAGTTCACATATGGAGAGGGAGAGGAGGGCAGAAAGGACAAATGCCAGATTTCCAAATGACAGGATGAAGAGACACAGTAAGGTACAAGGGGCTGCAAGAGCAGATACAGCAGGCCCCTAACATCAGATGGGGTGGGGGTAGGATTTCTTCTAATTAGTGTATTTATTGAGCACCTGTGATGACCATCATAATAAGCACTTCTTATGTACTCATTGCTGAGAAAAAGCTTACGGGTGGCATTGCTGTTTAGTTCATTCATTACTGAGCACAGGTAATATGGAGTGAATAAACCAGACAGAGGGCTTACATATGATTGGGGGGAAAGAAAGACAATAAACAGATGAGTAAGTTCACCATAGTACAATAATGTGGAAGAAAAATAGAGCAGGTTAAGGGGAAGAAGAAGGGCAGTGGGTAAAGAGCAATTGCTATTTCTTAGAAGGTGATAGCAATGGGCTTTTCTAATAAAATGAGGTTTTAGCAGGGACGGAAGAAAAGGAGGGACAACCAAGTGGTTATCTGCAACGAGATTGCACCAGAAGAAAGGAATAGCAAGTAAGAGCATGTTTGATATGCTTTGACATTTGGATAATGGAAGGCAGTGACACTGGGACAATGTGAGCAATACCGAGAATAAGAAGATAAAAGTCAGAGATTAAGAGAAAGGTCGTGAAGAAATGTGAAGCCATAATAAGGGTAATTTCTGAAGGTTTGCACCTCCTTTCTTTTTTCATTTCTCACCCTCATCCTTTAACAATTGAGGCTTTCGATAAGGACAATAGGGTCTTATAGTTACAATAAATATTTGGAGGAGAAGAAAAATGCAGCTCTTAGAATTACAGAGTTGTTTGTAGACTTCAGTTAACTATTTGCTTTCTGCAGCCAGTATCACAGATAGATAAAAATTGCCCATAACATCAACAATAGTGATGATGATGATGATAAGGTTAATACTTTGATTTTAGATAATAGCTTGATATCCAGTGGTCTTTCAAGCACCACCATTGTTTTTATCTGCTGGTTCAACATCTTGATTTCTGCAATTGTGATTAGTATCCATTAGACATGTAATTGCTATGAGAACCCCAAGGGCCCTTTAGATAAACCATTTCTCTTTACTCTTATGACGATTAATATCTTGGTTTTATATTGTACAATTTTATCACATTCATAGGACATTTATTGGGTAGTGACTTGAGGCAAAATACTGTTTTATGATGAGGAGGATATAAAATGAGTAAATGATCCCCACATCTTTAAGCAATTTATTATAATTTAAAAACACATTATTTGTTTCTACAAAAACCATCTTTCATGGTAAGAAAAAAAGAGGTGAAATGATACAATGAGTCAGTGGCAAATCTGGGAGTAGAAGCCAACTGTTTCTGTGTTCGCGGACTGTGCTGCCTCTCAGTGCAGTGAACGTAATGGGTTTAAATTGTGTGCATTTTCTGAAAGAGAAAGCCATTTATGGGAGTATCTGACATTAACCCTGATCCTCCAGATGGCCTGAGCAATGAGATTTCTGCTATATGAATTAATTTATTCTATATGATGTAGACTGTGATTCTTCCTGAGTATTTATTTATGGTATGGAAAATACATTGTATCTAGGTGGAGACCATTGGCGATGCCTATTGTGTAGCTGGGGGATTACACAAAGAGAGTGATACTCATGCTGTTCAGATAGCACTGATGGCCTTGAAGATGATGGAACTCTCTGATGAAGTTATGTCTCCCCATGGAGAACCTATCAAGGTAAGGCAGATGATGCATTGTCACAAAAGCAAACACATATTAGTTGATTATCAAAAGCACGGTGTATCAGTTGGGGTTTAGTCGAGAGAGAAAGCAAAATCTATAAAGAGAGCACAATCTTCTCTAACTTGTTTGCATTGGAAGAAATTTATTATAGGGCATTAAATGGCCTACGGAATCACTGAGAGGACAGAAGAAACCATCTTTAAGAAGGTTTCTCCTGTCCTCTATAAGCTTTCAAAAAATGTCTCCCATAGCATGGGAATTTTCTATTGTCAAAATAAAATGGCTCCTAAAAGCACACTTCACAACAACTGCGTTTTCAAAAATCTGAAAGCTGATTCCAGAACTATCCCACCAAAGCTACAGTCAGGAAATTGCCATGTTATGAAAGCTGCTGCCTCTCCAAAACTGTACCTGCTATAATAATCAGCAAGATGGCCATCCTGCATCATGACTGTTACAAAATGAGTGATGGGAAAATGGACTCTCAACTAAGCATGCTATAGAAAACACAAAGGCTTCCACAACTTGAGTTATAGTGGAGATTGTGCCTGCCAAATCCCATGCAACTGTACATCTGATTTACTAAGCCTAACTGCATTTAGAAGCTGTAAGTTCATTTGGAAAATGTAGTTTTGGTTTTCCAACCCCTGGAGGAGAGGATATTACATTTGAATGGATGTTGACTGCTAATCCACCAATATTTTCCAAGGCACATGACATTTCAGAATTTCTTGATGAGCCAGATTCCAGAATAACATCTCACCACACGTGAGGAAATAAAGTTAACATGGTGGGCATTGGTTTAATAGATAGAACCTAAGCAGATTACCTTTACTTGTCTCACTTACAGTGAATCTGCCCCTTAATTTTTATAGGAGAGTCCTCAGTTGACATGCTATAAAACATGTAGTGAAGAAAGAATATATTTAAAAACAAAACTGTATCTACAAGTTTATCCTTAACTCTCTTTAACCTTAATAGAAGCTATATGTTTAAGCCTTCATAACGATTTTCTAAGTCTATTGTCATCCCATTTATATGTTGTTGTGCAACATATTTTTCTAAATTTAGTGGTACAAAATCACAAACTTTTATTATGCATGGATTCTGCTCATCAAAAATTTGGATAAGGCATAGCAGGAATACCTACCTCGTCTCTGCTGTTCAGTCTATAGGACCTCAGCCAGGAATATGCAAATGATTGAGGCTGCCTAGAATAGTTGGGATTGCAAGGACTGGAGCTGGAGGATTCATTCCAAGACTACTGCTTCACTTACATGTCTGATTCCTTGATGGGGATGGATGAAAGGTTGAGGTCAACTGGGATTATTACAGTTACATGTGGTACACGAATACGTATTTCTTATGAGGTGGTTCAAGTCCCACTGAACAAGACTGGTGGAAGCTGCATGACCTAGTCTTGGAAGACACACAGAGACACTTCCACTGTATTCTATTGGTCAGAGCAATCATCAGTCGTCCCAGAAGAGGGCGGGCTTAGAACCCATCAATCAATAGAAGGAGTATAAAATAACTTGCAGCTATGTTTTAAAAGCATCACAACGCCTGACTTTTTCTGATTTAGTTTCTATAATTACATATTTTTGAGGAGGACTATATATTTCTTTCTCTTTCTAAGGTGTTCAAGGGGGCTTGTAGCATTGAAGTAAATATTAAATATATTTAGACTGTTAATATTTTCAGTGATTTCCACATAAACGCATTTTATAATTAAGATGTGTATGTTTGGAATGAGAGAATTGATGGGATTTTTGTTATTTGTAGAAATGTATTTTTAGATTTTTCTAAGTTGGAAGAATTATTTATAGCTAGTTTCAAAGATAGTTACCTGGGTAACAGTAGGTTAGTTTTAGAGACCTATAAAGTGAGTCGTTAATCATACCTTTTTATGCATACTATAACGCGCAGTACTGGGAAATATCTGACGGCCTTAAGAGGTACCTGTGAAACATCACAGAGACAGAGTGGAGAGTATTTTTAGTAGGGAAACTTTAACGTGTATCGGAAAGTAGCATACTGTGACTTAGACATCGTCTCATTTAATCCTTATAGTAACACTTTAAAGAGGAATCTATAATTCACCAGTGGGCAAGAGCAGTCAGGTCTCCTATGTGTCAGGATTTGGAGTCATGTCCATGTGGCTTCAAAGCCCAGGCTTTTCCTGCTTCTTGCCCTGCTACCTCCTGGTACATAATTGAAGTGAAAGAACAGAAAATATTTTCTTTTTTTGTTTTTCAAACTCTATACTTTCCTCTAGCACGTCACATGTGCTAATCATTCATCCCTTCACTAATTCCTATTGATTTCCTCACTAACATCCATCCAGTCAGTCTTAGAAGACAGTGTGGCGATTCCTCAAGGATCTAGAAATAGAAATTCCATTTGACCCAGCATTCCTATTACTGGGTATATATCCAAAGGACTATAAATCATTCTACTATAAGGACACATGCACACGAATGTTCACTGCAGCACTGTTTACAATAGCAAAGACCTGGAACCAACCCAAATGCCCATCAATGATAGACTGGACTGGGAAAATGTGGCACATATACACCATGGAATATTATGCAGCAATCAAAAACGATGAGTTCGTGTCCTTTGTAGGGACATGGATGAATCTGGAGAACATCATTCTCAGCAAACTGACACAAGAACAGAAAATGAAATACCACATATTCTCACTCATAGGCGGGTGATGAACAATGAGAACACATGGACACAGGGAGGGGAGCACTACACACTGGGGTCTATTGGGGGGAATAGGGGAGGGACAGCAGGAGGGGGGAGCTGGGGAGGGATAGCATGGGAAGAAATGCCAGATGTGGCTAAAGGAGAGGAAGGCAGCAAGTCACACTGCCACTTGTGTACCTATGCAACTGTCTTGCAAGTTCTGCACATGTACCCCAAAACCAAAAATGCAATTAAAAAAAAAAAAAGAAAGCAGCAGGTGGGTTGGGGCAGAGACCAGTGGGCTGAGTATAACAGTGAAAGTCAGTAAGTGACAAGTGAACATGGAAGCAAACTTCTAGTACCCCTGCATTCCTCTTCCCAGAAGCCTGTGTGTGAAATGGGCTATGCCACAAGTGGTTCCAAATAGAAGATGCCCTTAGCAGGTTCCCGTTCAAACGTTTTCCAAGAGCCAGAATTCTGCCTTTCCCTTTCATTATTTCACATGGTAGTCTGTTACCAGTGAAAAGAGCTATGCTTTTCACTTGTGAAACACATTGTGTTTAAAATCTTGCTGATGAGTTTGAAAAGCTTTGTAAGAAAATGCTGGGGTTGAGAGTGAAATTCAGAGCTGGAGAAGGGGAAGAGGGCGTCTCGGGGTGGAAGGACTAAAAGGGACACTTGTCTTATCTGCATGACTTCAGTTTTTACAAGCAGAACGTATTTATATTTTAATTATGAAATAAGATTAAAATGCTATGGTAAATCTAACATATAATAAACTGGAATAACTAAGTATAGGAAGAAAACCTGGTTTAACCAGAAGAACGCTCAGAGAGAGCAAAAATTCCTCAATCTAAATATGCTAAAGTCGTGGCTGATTTAGGGGCAGAAGAGAGTCTTCATCCATCTATCTATCTATCTATCTAGCTATCTATAATCTATCACTCATTATATGTGTCAAATCATATTCTCCTAAAGGAGACAAAGCCAGTTATATAACAGGTATCTAAGTTTTGCTTGTTAAAGTAAAATTTTGGTGAAGAAAGTTATTTAAAAATAATCAAACCCTGCATTTTATAGGTGAAAACATGATCAGAGGGAAGTAAAGAGCCTTAAGGAAGTCAGACTACCAGTTACCAGAAGAGTTTGTTAGAAGGCAAAGTTTCTGATTCACAGGCTAGTGCTTTTGTTTGAAAAGTTTGTAGAATTCATATGACATCTTAAATGTAAATGAGTCTGGAAAGTCTTTAACAGATATCTGAAATTAGTTACTAAAAGTAGGCAGAACTGAAGTCTTCTGATTTCCAAATTATATCTAAGCTACTGAGTTCTTGGTCTTCATTCAAAATGCGTATATCTAACACAACTTCTTAAAATGGTGGAGTAAACATAGAGTTTGAAAACGAACATGATATCATCATTATGATGTAAAATAAGCTCACTTTAGCCTGCTTTGTAGCAGCAGTAATTTAAGTACTTGTGAATCCTTTAATATCATAAAGTAATCAGACCTTTGAAGATTTCATGATTAAATATCCTGCTTTGGCTAGGCAAGGTGACTTATATTTGTAATTCTATCACATTGGAAGGTTGAGGCAGGAAGATCACTTGAGCCCAAGAGTTTGAGAGTCAACTGGCAACATAGCCAAGACCCTGTCTCTACAAAAAAATTTAACACTTAGCCAGGTGTGGTGGTGTATGCCTGTAATTCCAGCTACTCTGGAGGCTGAGGTGGGAGATCATTTGAGCGCAGGGGTTTGAAGTTACTGTGAACTATGACTGTGCCACTTCACTACAGCCTGAGTGACAGAGCAAGACTCTATCTCTAAAAACATAAACAAAATAAAATAAAACATTCTGTCTCAGTGGCTCTCCAAATATTGGAGACTTCCAGAATTCCTAAAATTTTGCCACAACACATCCCAGACTGCCTCTTTTATCTCGGTGTGGAACAAATCTGACATTTTTATCAGTCTGGATTTTCAGTTTAATGTGTATAAACATTGTCATCTGGACTTAAGTAACTTCCACTTTCTGCTTCCTCTGTCATTTTCTGCTTAAATAGTACAATTTCATTTCCCCAGTTGTAAGTCATTAGAATAGTGGAATAGTGTTTGGTATAAAGCTGTTTTAAGGTAAAATGTCTACAAAATGTGTTTAATGTCCTTAGAGCTACCTTCATTTGCCTTTCTTTGTCAGGGTTTGGGGAAACAACTCTAGGAGTCCAGAAATTATGTCTATCTCACTTGATGGAGAGGTGGCAGGTTTACATAAATGGCTCATATCCTCCTTGGTATGTCGCTGTGGTAACTATCATCCCTGTGCATGGTAACTTGTTTCAGGTGTTGAAGACTGGCAAAATTAAGATGGTTTATGTAATAAATCTAAATGGAAAAGAGTTAAGAGGTGTGACTATTGATTCTGTACTAGTAATTTTTTTTTTTTTTTCTGAGACGGTCTCGCTCTGTTGCCAGGCTGGAGTGCAGTGGTGCAATCTTAGCTCACTGCCACCTCTGCCTCCTGGGTTCAAGTGATCCTCCTGCCTCAGCCTCCCAAGTAACTGGAACTGCAGGATCGAGCCACCACATGCAGCTAATTTTTTGTGTTTTTAGTAGAGACAGGGTTTCACCATGTTGTCCAGGATGGTCTCGATCTCTTGACCTTGTGATACACCCGCCTCAGCCTCCCAAAGTGCTGGGATTACAGGCATGAGCCACCAAGCCCAGCCTGCACTAGTAATTTTTGATTGCATATAAGGAGTAGAGGGAAGTTGGCTGGAGGTTTTGAGGAAAGGGGTGGTGTGCTGAGGGTGAATGGTAAAATAATTTGGACAGGGTATTCAAACAACACTGACCGGTAGGAAGTGTTTTACCAGTGACTGGGAACATCATGTTATTTTTTGCTTTCAGATGCGAATTGGACTGCATTCTGGATCAGTTTTTGCGGGCGTTGTTGGAGTTAAAATGCCTCGTTACTGTCTTTTTGGAAACAATGTCACTCTGGCTAACAAATTTGAGTCCTGCAGTGTACCACGAAAAATCAATGTCAGTCCAACAACGTACAGGTAGTAATTATGTTAAACACCTAAAATCTCTTGTTTTTATTTATATGCAATTGCCATTTTTCCCTGTAACTTTTTTCTTCCTTAATCATAAAGAAAAAAAAAAGTGATACATTTTATCATCCTCACTTTAACTGTTTTTACACTACTTATTAGCCTCTTAAGTATGAGTCTCCTGAGGTGTTTGTGGCCCAACTATAATCCATGACAGATATTACATATTCTTCCATCACTCTTCTTTTAGAAGCATATATTAATACTCTCAGTATGTTGATAGGTGTTCTTACATCACCTAGTATACTGCAGTGAAATTCTGGCACTAACCACCCAGACTGAGCAGTCATAACCACAGGGTATGGGGCATAAAACCCAACAAACCTGCCCTTAATTCAGATGCCAACCACCCTTCAGGGCCTAAGTGTGCATTTAGACTGAATGAGCTACAAATTTGGGGGTTCCCATGAACCTCTCAAGTTAGATAATTAGTTAAATGACTCACAGTACTTAGGGAATTGCTATACTTACTATTACAGTTTTATTTTAAAGGATACAAATCAGGACCAACCAAAGGAGGAAACAGAGTGGGTAAGGTCTGGGAGGGTCCCAGATGCAGGGCTTTCATGGAATCAGAACTTATCTCCCTCTGATCACATCAATGGGTTCACAAAGCAGGAAGCTCCACCTCACTGAGCTTTCAGTTGGTGTTATGAAGTTTTATTGCGTTCATTATGTAGGCATGTTGGCTGAATCATTGGCCATGGGATTGAACTCAGTCACCAGCCCCACTCTCCTCCCCAGAGGTTAGGCTAGCACAAAACCCCAACCTTCTAATCACAAGATTGATTTTTCTGGTTCACTGCCTCCATTCTGAGTCATTTCATTAGTATAAACTCAAATATGATCCAAAGGGCTCATGGAAAACAGATACCTATAACTCAAAAAAACTCCAAGAGTTTTAGAAGCTCCCTCCCTGCAGTTGAGGACAAAAGCCAGTCAAGTTTTCTATTATCAAGTGTTTTTCAAAGATTGCAGTTTTGTGGATTGGCAGCAAGTGTTAACACAGAGGAGCCATGTGTCATCTCGCATCAGAAGAACCTCCTTTTTCACTGTCTCCTTAACAACATGTCGTGTACACCCTGAGTCTATAAAATCTGCCATTTTGGCATCACTTATCCATCTTTAAGCAGACAATAAACCAATTCGTGGTAAGTAGAAATAAATCTATCATGTACATTTTGTCTCATTATATTGGAAACTCTAACAAAAAAGGTTTTCAGATCTATGGAGCAGCTAAATTATACCAAGCAAGTTAACTTTTCTATTATCAGAAATAGCTCTTTAATAAATATCATCTTCTCATCTTCTCCCTTCTTCTTCTATTTTTTTGAGACCAAGTCTCACTCTGAAGCCCAGGTTGGAGTGTGCAGTGGTGCAGTCTCGGTTCACTGCAAACTCTGCCTCCCAGGTTCAAGTGATTCTCCTGTCTCATCCTCCCAAGTAGCTGGGATTACAGGCACCCACATCCATGTCTGGCTAATTTTTGTATTTTTAGTAGGTATTGGGTTTTGCTGTGTTGGCCAGGCCGGTCTTGAACTCCTGACCTCAAGTGATCCGCCTTGGCTCCCCCAAAGTGCTGGGATTATAGGTGTGAGCCAATGTGCCTGGCCTTCTCCCTTCTTAAAGTACCAACATCCTTTCCTTTCCAGCCCAGACTCTCAGTTGATAATCTTGCCTCATATTTCACAGCTAGACTAGAAGTCAGATAAGAACTTTGCCATCTTCACACCGTGGGTTCCCTCGGCAGAGCTACCCCAGTACCCATCTGCTCCTTCTTTGTTCCCCTTACATTGGGCTAGCTCCCGTCCTGCCCCTGTTGATACAGTTTTACTCTAAGTGATATTTCCTCTCACCTTCTCAATAACTTTTCTGCTGAAATTAACTGCTTTCTCTCAATGAGCAATTTCTCTCTGATGAAATGATATTCCCAACAGAACACAACCGTATCTATTAAAGCTCTTGAAAAGTTAAAAACTTTCCTGTTTTTTGTTCTCCTGCTACAATTTTAAATTTCTGCTCCTTTTTATAGCAAAACTGAAAGAAGTTGTCTACATTCACTATCTCTATTTTTTCCACCTCTTATTATCACTTCAACTTACCCCAATCAGTGTTTCCTCCACTGAAATGGTTCTTATCAGGGTCATCAGTGTGCCTTGTTAAAATCACTGTCAATTTTCTCTCCTTATTGTCCTCAACATCTCAGTAGCATTTGAATTGGCTGAGAACTCCCTCATTTAAACATTTTCGGCCGGGCGCGGTGGCTCAAGCCTGTAATCCCAGCACTTTGGGAGGCCGAGGCAGGTAGATCAGGAGGTCAAGAAATCGAGACCATCCTGGTCAACATGGTGAAACCCCGTCTCTACTAAAGATACAAACCCCGTCTGCTTGCCTGTGCCTGTAATCCCAGCTACTCAGGAGGCTGAGGCAGGGGAATTGCCTGAACCCGGGAGGCGCAGGTTGCGGTGAGCCGAGATCGCGCCATTGCACTCCAGGCTGGGTAACAAGAGCGAAACTCCGTCTCAAAAAAACAAAAACAAAAACAAAACAAAACAAAAAAAACATTTTCTTCCTTAAGTTTTTGGCTCCGGACTCACCTAGTTTTCTCACTACCCTGTGTCTGCACCTTCTCAGTGTCTCGTTGGCACTCCTTCCCTACCAAACCTGTGCGGCAGTGCCCAGAGCTCTGCTCCTGTACTCTTCTGTGTCTGAACTTTTATGACTGTAATCATTTTTTAAAAAATCTTTTGCCCATCCTCTAACTCTCCATATAGCTACAGATCATATATCTATCCTATTCCATATTTCCACTTGGATGACTAATTGACATATTAAAATTAACTGGACCAAATTAGAATGAGTGATTTTCCACGCAGAGTGATGAAATCCACTTCCCACCCAGGCAAGCTTACCAATCATCTTAAAAATGATATCACCATCCACCTAGTTACTCAGACCATCTACCCTACAGTGATCATTTCTTCTCCTCTCTTTAATGAGGCACTCCTTAACTACCATAGCTACAGCAACAACCTTCTCCTCACACGCCCTCACACTATCTTATCTTCTCAGTTAGCACCTGCATCTGAAATCGTCTTATACAGTATTTATGTGCCAATTTCCTGCCTCCCTTTGCAGAATGTTAGCTTCCTGTGGTACACATTCTATATCCCCAGCTCCTAGATCAGTGCCAGGAACACAGAAGTAAAGCTATTTCTGTATTTACTGGTTGACTACTGACTCCTGGACATGAAAATACTCAGTGTAACCTGAGAACTGGAAAAATCCCTGGGGTTCATTGTAATGGTAATTGGCCTGTGGTCCTATCCGGTATAATATAGGTAGGGATAAGAATCCATGGCCTGAAACAATATGATGCCACTCTCTCTGTGGGCATTAAGAGGAATCATCCTGCTAAGCAGGACTCAGTTGCTTGTCCTTCCACTGATAGCTGAGCTTCCCCTCAGTGTTCAGTGATATATTATGTGTGCATGTGCATGTGCATATTGAGGAATCCTACCTTAAAACAAAATCTCTACATATAAAAAGTATATTTTCCTTTTTTCTATATTGATTGTTTTTTACAGTATAAAACTAACTTTTTCAAAAATCTTTCATTTCGTATCTCAAAGTCTGATGGTCTTGAGTTATGTTAGGAGACACTGATATTAACTACCCATTTTTCTCCAAAATATAATTCAGCATCTCAGGTATTTCAGCAGAGGACCATGATATATTGACATATATTTCCAGCCACAAAATAATGCTCATGTCTTAAATCTTAGATTCACTATATTGGGAATGTTACTAGAAATGCAGGTATAGGTTTTTATACCATAGTGTTATTTTTTAAAATAAATTTTTTAGTGTAGTAACACATGTCCATTTTAGAAAATTTACAAAATTAGTTACTAAGTAAATAATAGGAAAATCTCATAATCTCACTAACCAGAGATAGTAACTATTAACATTTCTTTTTTTCAGTTATGTTGATATGCACATACATGAACAATATTGAAATTTTAATTTAATTTTTATTAAACTTTATTCAGCTTATTTGCTAAAGTCATTTCTACTTTTTCTAAACAAATATGATGTGGCTTTTTTCCCTTTTGTGTTGATTTCAATACTAATTTACTCTCCTTTTATTCTCATATATGAGATGTTTATGTCTTGCCTAAGGGAAAGCAGTAGTTAATACTGTTTTATTTAGGCAAATATAAATACTTAATGTGAAATACTTTTAACAACATTTTAAATTCCTTTCTTCAAGAGATACTTCACTTTTTTTCCATATGCTAGGAAAACAATATAAATAATTTAAATTTCAACTAAACATCCATGCTTTGTTAAATTTAGTCAATAGGAGGGGCATAATTTTAGTTTTACTCAAAGTATAGGACAAGAAGTGGATGCTAAAGAACGTGTGCAAATACCAAATGCAGTTTTCTTTGGAGAGCTTTACTGGCAATGCATTAAATTCTGGAATGATATTTCTTTAGTAATAAATATTTTTAATATTGAATGTAACTCCCTTAATATATTTGTAAATACAGGTAAATTTAGAACACAGAATATATACATATACCAAAAAAATAATGTTTATCTTCAAATTTCCACTTCCAAATTCTAATCAGTGATTCAGAATGTGGCAGTGTAATGACAATTATACATTCCTGTCTTTTAAACATTGTAAGGAGTTTTACACTAATTTTAGGGGATAATACTGTGCATTTTGTTGTCTTTTTCTGAGGTGAGGAAAACTAATAGAGACTACATTAGATATTGTCAAAGTTTCAGGTCGTGGATTAATGATAGGGGTTTATGTGGTGATCCAAGAATCATTAGAAACAAAAATGGCAATTGGGGAGGATGCGTAGATGCTGGCCAGTGTGTGGGGTAAACAGGCCTAGGACCTCTTGTTTGTAAGACAAATCTGAGCACATGGTGCTAGAGAAGCAAGAATTGAATTCTGTAAGAAGAAAGAACAGAGTGATTAAAGGAATATAAGAAAGATAACAGAGAATAGGAGAGTTGATGCAATAATTTGGGGAAAATGGTGTCTGCTGAAGAAGCTGTAGAGAAAAATGTCCACCCTATGAGGACATCTAGGCTATTGCTGCCTTTTTTGGGTGTTACTATCATCAAGATTTCATCTAAATGATTTGTTTTTCTAAATGGTTTGTCTTAAATATTCTGATCTTTTTAAAAGACAATATAATGAACATTTCTAACTCCATGACATTCTAATTATGTTTGTCTGTTAAGTTTCTTTAAAAAGCATAGAATTTGTATTCAGAAGACATGTCTTAGAGTCCCAAACACTGCACTTACCAGATGTGTGATCCAGAGCAAGGCCTTTAATAAAAGATGATGCACTTTAAAGCCACTTGTAAAGGCTGCATGTTTTTATATAATACATTTAAATATGATGACCGTATTTAGTAGGAAATGTTGGGTTGTCATAGGTAGAAAAAATAAGTTTATCAATCACCTATAGTTTTATACATTTTTATTTATTAGACTCATAGTTTTATACATTTTTACATTTAATTTTTAAACATACAGAAAAATAACAAAGCAAACAAGATGGCACTCATATAGCCAATACTAACACTTAAGTATCAACATTTTGCCATATTCATTTCAGATTTCTGTTTTATAAAAACAATAAAATAAATAGATATTAATATAATATAATATAAATGTAAAATATTACATGGTCCCTGTACACTCTGATACAATGGATCCTATATGCTTTATAGTTTATAGGAGCTGAGAATACATACTCCCTACAGACGATCTCCAAAATACAGATGTGTGTTCGGCAGCTTCTCCACAACTCATCAATAAGATGTCACTTCTGCTTTCCAGGAAGGAAAATGGGTAGAGAGAGGCAGGAATTTCACTTTCATTTAGGTCCTGCCAGGTAGAAAAATAAAGCCAGAGGAAAATAGATTCCCAATCCACATGTCCGTATCCTTTTATGACTTGCCTTGGATCCACTCAGTATTATGTTTCTGAGATAGTTTCCTTGATAAAACGTTAAGCCTAGTTATAAATCTAGATCATTCATTTTAACTATTGCTAATGGAGTGATTTGCTGGTAAACCAGCTTTGGAGGATGAGATAGAGAATCCATGATTCTAGCATTTGCCAATTTCGGTGGTGTTACTGTATACACTCTGGCAGCTTTTGGGCTACAGAGGCTTAACTGTCTCACAGAGTTTCTGAGTATTTAACAATTGACGCTCACAAGCCAGTATGAACTAGATCCAGCATGTTACTATATGCTCATGTAATATAATATGTATTCTGGAGTATGAATAAGCCAGACTCTATCTTCCACCCATGGTTAATTAAAGTGTATCCATTTTTTCATTATTATAAAATGTGATTCAATAAATATCTTTATACAAATGTCTTTAGATAATATAACTAAAAATGGTATTCCCAGACCATAGGCTATACCCAGTTTCAACCTTACTAACCATTAATTAGCTGTTCAAATTGATTTTACCAATCTATACTCTACCAAGTGTATGAAGGGTGCTATTCCCCAAAGCCTGATATTGTCAAACTTATTGTTGCCAATATGATAGGTATGGTGTGATTTCTAATTGAGGCTTAGTCAGTTTTTAAAAATCCATTTACTTAATTTTCACAACTGTCCTAAGGAATATGTACTATTACTATCCCCATTTTAAAGGTTGGATAATGAACATCTTTACTGCTAGATCTATCAGACTTTGAAGCTTATGCTTTTAATACTTTGTGATTCTATAACTTTTCATTATATATTCTCAAATAATAGTCATTCAAAATATTTATCATGGCTAAGGCATGATTTTTGTTAGTTTTATTGTTTTGCTGATTACATATTTATTGATGTACTGATGAAAATTAAACTGTCATCCTTGAGACAGATTTCTATTCAATTGGTTTCTTCAGCAGATAGACGTTGTCACAGCACCAAAATCTGATTCAACATCATTATTGTATTTAATTTAGACATGACATTACAGACTAGTGAGTAGAAGATCGTGGTCTGTTTGGGTAAATATAATACATGCTTCTCTGTAGCAGTTAGTTGAGAGCCCACAACTATGCGACATTTTTCATGCATGGCCTGAATATTAGGTTAGAGAGGCTTATTAGGTTCGAATTTGACAGAAAGCTAGGGAAGCAAATGGGAAGAGGTGCCAATAGCTTAATCAGTAAGATTAAGAATTTAAAATGGGTTTAGCATAATGAACAAGTAGTAAAATAGCAAACAATATAATTTGGTGAACAGATGAATTTTGGGAGGTAAAATATTGCGAATAACAATTGGTAAGTAGAGTGCTGGTATGTACAATCTTAAATCTCATTTGAGTCTTAATTTGATTCATTTTTATGAATCTAGAATTTACAAAAATTCTGTTGAAAGATTCAGATGTTGTTCACACATCATTTTTGTCACTGTAATTTTGGTTCAGAATTTCTTGCCCACATGATTACTTTTTTTGGCTGTGATTATAGTAAAATTTACAAAATTAATGAATTGATAAATGGAAGTCTTACCTCTTTCAACTTAGGAAATCTTAATACTATTATGATTATGTGTGGATACTTTGCTATTATTAAATCTTTGGATTTTTTTTCACTACTATAAATTGCACTGTTAGGTGGATATTATCTTTGCAAAAATATTTTATAATTTGTTGCCAGTGTAAGTGAAATTCATTAGTTGACACAATTTTCTTCTTGTGAATTGATTCTTCATTGTTGTACTTCTGTGAAGATATCTGTTAACCTCATTTGTCTTTTCCTGTCAATCACATTTAAAATCATTTATTAATATGGTTTATTAATATTCTCAGTAACATTCAGTTAGTTAAGTTGTCTTCTTTTTTTGAGTGGACAAACATTTATGTCAATATTATATTTGAATATTTTTATTTTAATATTTTCAGATTACTCAAAGACTGCCCTGGTTTTGTGTTTACCCCTCGATCAAGGGAGGAACTTCCACCAAACTTCCCCAGTGAAATTCCCGGAATCTGCCATTTTCTGGATGCTTACCAACAAGGAACAAACTCAAAACCATCATTCCAAAAGAAAAATGTGGAAGATGGCAATGCCAATTTTTTAGGCAAAGCGTCGGGAATAGATTAGCAACCTATATGCCTATTTATAAGTCTTTGGGGTTTGACTCATTGAAGATGTGTAGACCCTCTGAAAGCACTTTAGGATTGTAGATGGCTAACGAGCAGTATTAAAATTTCAGGAGCCAACTCACAATGTACTCTTTCTGTCATTTAACTTAACAAAATGTGATCAGTTCAGTACTTCAGCTCTTCTGTTAAAAAGGAAAAAAGAAAGAAAGAAAGCTTAAGAAGTTACTTTTTGGGCAGTATTTCTTTATATATAACCATCACTTATTACCTGTACTCAAAATTCAGCATCTTGTACATATATAAGATAATTGTAGTCAATTATACAAACTGATGGAGTCACCCGCAATCTGAAATCCTGGTGAAATGCCATGCGTATTAAAGTGTGTTTGTGATAGTGTTGTCTTAAAAAAGGATTTTGATTAGAAATTACATTTTGACACCGTAAGTTCTTTCAAACTTTCAACTCTGCGTTTTATTGCACTTTCTCATTTAACTACCAGCATATGTTTGAATATACGGTGACCTTTCTATCTCTATTGCATTTTCTTCTTTTTTTCTTTTTAGAAAATAAGCAATTAGGGGTTAGATGCAATATGAATATAAAATAGTTCTGTAAATATCAAATATTATTTTTAGTTCTTGAAGTTACAAATACTCTCCATAGTAATGTGTGTTATAACAATAAATATTTCTTTCGTTTGACTCTTAAAAATTCTACAATGGTAAAGGCTATTTTAACTCATATTAGTTATTTAATTCCTATTAATTCATTTTACTATCATGATAGCTAAGTATTCAAGATAAAAGAGGTTTATGTCTTGTATTAAAGTGCAGCAGTATAACTCTAATCTAATTTAGCTGAAAGCAACATGGGAATAAAGTAATGGTCCAGAGGACTCACCATAAAGTACATTGGTAAAACATCCACACATGTACACATACATGGAGGCACACTTGGAGCAATGTGGACCTACTTAGGCAGACATCGTCTGTTGCCATGATGAGCCATTTACAGTTTTAAGAAGAAAATCTAAGTATGGAACTAGAAATAAGTCTTGTTCTTTTGTGGATATCTCATTTTTCATGAGTATTTGGGATGAACATTTTGGTGTATTTTTATGCACTAAGAATCAAGTTTTTGTCTCATTAAATATACATATAATAAGTATTTTTTATTCTATTTGAAATATCTTGATTATTTAAAGACACTCAGTATTGATAAAGCAAATAAGGCAGTGACTATGTTATGGAAATTTCTGATATTTTTTTCCAGAGCTTCACCTTCTTTCTTTGGTTTTACTTAAACCTTTAAGCAGATATGATCTTTTAATTTTAATTATGTCAGTTGAAGTTTTCTGGTGAACTAAAATATTTACATTTTGATTGAGGATAAGGATTTGATTTTTAAAAGCTCAAATTTAAAGTAAGAAAAAAATGAATGTTAAACAGTTTTAAAATCAATATTAGCAGAGCCATAGATATGCTAAACTCTTAATTTGGGCTCTGAGAAATAACTCAGTTTAAAAATTCTTCAATTGCCTTCATTTGTGCCCAGGCTTCCCCACCGTGACACCAGGAATAGTTATTACTGATGGGCCTCTAGTATTCCAAGGGTACTTCTATAGATAATACAATAATGTTGTTTACTAAGTGATAACCCAGTGTCTTACAGGACTGACTTTGACTCAATGAACACTCACCCTATTATTGGAAAGTACCATAGGTCTTGAGAAAGTATAGTTATAACCTCACAAATATATGAAGTTAAATCACTACTTACAAGGAAAATAAAAATGTAAATACATTTTCCTTTCTGGGACCGAACTCTTATGGGAAAATAATAGAAATAAAGAAAATGTAATAGCATAACATGGAATGCAGTCTTAATCAAACATTTCAGCAGACCTCAATTTGCTAATAATTTGTACTCAAAAAGTTTATAATTCAATTAGAATTCAGAAAGTATTTTCTGTGTTTGTGATGGATTAGCATATATACAAAACAAATGTGGGGAAATGTATATAATCTTGATGAAAAGTGTGTGGGAGTTTCTTGTACTATTCATGCATCTTTTCTATAAATTTGGCATTTTATCTAAATAAAAAGCACCAAAAAATACTTTCACGGAGAAATTAAATCATCTGCGATAGGTTCCCCAGACCAGCCTACAAAGGCCCATTAAATATAGAATAATCTGTGGATCTTAAAGAAGATGAACAAACATTTCCATGACAGAGTACATATGAAATTCACAATTTAGATGCTAAAACATTAAAGGAATTTCTTTTTTCTCTGTCTTATCTGCTTTGAAGCTTAGAGATTAGGGAGACACTTTTCAGATCCAGACCAATGATGGTAGCCAGAGTTGAGACCCTGGAGCATAGATTCTTAAAATAAATAAGGACAAAGTCAGAGCTTGTGAGGTATTGGGTTTTTTTCTATAAATTTGGAAAAAAAAGTGGAAAAACAGGGCCTGTAATCAGGTTGGGAACTATGGGTACTGACTTATGTTGCCATTTAACTATCCCAAAAATAAGATTGGGTCTCAAGACTGCTTCCCTAACAGACTGTTTCTCCTGAAAATCCAGGGGCTGTTCCTTCTGTTCTGATTATATAGTTTCCATTCGTGGCTTCTTGTCCTGTTATTTTTTTGTGTGTCAAGTGCCTTATATAAATTAGCCCCTTAAACATATTTCTCAAGCAAGCACGGAGTTATATTGAAGTTTTCTAAAGATACTTTGCATCAAGAAGCAAAGAGAAATACAAATTAAAATGTTTCTTCCTATTTTGCTTTGCCTTTCTATATCTATTTAGACTTAGTAAGAAAATGCAAAGTGTATATTTAAGAAAACCTAAATATAAATAGATTCATTTACTCATTTTCATTTATTCATTCATCAAGAATTATTGAATGCCTACTATGTGCCAGGAATATTGCTGTATTTTTGAAATTTAAGGATAAAGTATGGCCCAATCAATCAAGAAAGGAAAGTGAAAGACAAATATAAGACATAACATGGCCGGACGCGGTGGCTCACCCCTGTAATCCCAGCACTTTGGAAGGCGAGGTGGGTGGATCAGGAGGTCAAGAGATCGAGACCATCCTGGTCAACATGGTGAAACCCCGTCTCTACTAAAAATACAAAAATTAGCTGGGCACGGTGGTGCATGCCTGTAATCCCAGCTACTCAGGAGGCTGAGGCAGGAGAATTGGCTGAACCCAGGAGACGTAGGTTGCGGTGAGCCGAGATCGCGCCATTGCACTCCAGCCTGGGTAACAAGAACGAAACTCCGTTTCAAAAAAAGACATAATAACACATTCTGTGTGAGCACAAAGTAGGGGACTCAGTGCTTAGAGAAGTCTTTGGTCTTAGAGTTCATCAAGCAGAGAAGAAGAAGGCATGGTCTAGGCAGATAAATTACCACACACAAAGAGATGGGGTCTTGGGGGTGCTAGCACGTTCTGGACAGTCAGTTGCCTGGAATGAGTTGGGAGTGGGTAGAATAAGGACGAAAGACCATCTGGACAAAAATCACCAAAGATTATGTGTGTCATGTAGAGGTGTGCCATGATAGTTATTAATATTACTATTGTAACCCTAATATATAGTAATAACTATACATGACACAGCTTTACATGACCTTAAATAGTTATCAACATTATTACCATAATAGTGATATTAACTATAATAAGAGCTATTATTCACTTGAGGCACTTTTTCAAAATAGATCTTACAAAAGAAACAAAAAGAAGCAGCAAAATGAGAAAAATTAGATCTATATTGGCTTCTGTTTCCCTTTCCAACAGTTTTAAAGCTACTAGATAGGAGAGGGATCAAGTCTTCAGGGAAGAGAATGGTATGATCAGATGTGTTTTCCAAAGACTATCAGAAATAGGATAGTTTTCAAGACCTGGGAAATATTTTTGTCCATGGATAAGGATAGATAGGATGGGTATTTACTTGCACAGGTGACTAAAGCAACATCTGTTTATGGCTCAAGGGAAAATGATTTATTTTATATCCTGGATATTTTGCCACAGCATAAGCAAAAAGCTGGGATGTCTGGCCTTGGAATTTTCTATCACTCTCAAGGCTATTAGTCTTTCAGAGCCTTTGGTAGGGAGGGAAGAAGAGTTGCCTCAGCATTTTAACTAACCTGTCTACCAAATTTCTTCTTCCTGATATTTCCAGCCACAGCACGACAAAGACTTCCCAGTCCTGTCCCAGATTAGGTTAGAAGAAGGAATGGGATGGAAGGGGGTGGTTGTGTGTGGTAGGCCTCACAAATGAAAGAGATGAATAAACAAGAGTGTCTAGTCCAAGTGGTGTCTGAGAAATAGACATCAGTTCTCAGAGATTACCCAGCTGGAAAACTGCCCAGAGGGAGCTTTACATGCAAAGCCCCAGTGAAGTCTAGTGCCGTAGAATTATTTAAATCCACCGCCAAGCCCCTGTTGATGCAAATGTTAGTAGCCCCAAGCTGAACGGGTTAATGAACTACTGCAGTAGTGTTAGGTGCATGGGTTTGACCTACATAAATCATTATTAATAAGTAAAATGGAATCTTTGACACATATTTGTGGAGAAGCTTGTTTGATCACTACCTTTCACTGAAGAGTAAAACATAGATCATTGATGTCACCTCATTTTGCACTTTGATGCTATTTCACTCTTCAGGTGGTTGTACTTGGACAGTTTAATGAAGGCCGACTTTAAGGGTGCAGAGATGGAGAACGTGGCATGTGTGAGAGGTGGGAGGGCAGAGACGCCTTGCAGTTCCTGTGAGGAGGGACTTACTGTCTCCTCTGAAACAGAAATTCAGGGCTGCAGAGACGGTAGGAAAGTGTAGTTCTCTTGTCAAAACACAGGCTAAAAGCAGGGACTGCCTAACTTACTAAGCAGAGAAAACCAAATGTCATTTTCAACCAAAATTTACAAACATTAGAGTTTATGGTCTTCGTTAGGATACTTTTCAAGACCTGGGAAATATTTGTATCCTTTGGTGAGAAGAAGGATCAATTACTAAAGCCGTAAGATTTCAGTAACAAAGGCAATTAGTCCTTTGTCATCTGTGTTGAGTTTGGTTTTCTTCTGTTCTTAGCATGTCAGCTACTAGATCTTTGATGAACTGTTGCTCTCCTTTAAATGTTTCTTTTATTATATTGATGATATGCACTCATTCGGTATTCTTATTTCAAGCCAAGTTAAGCGCTTTACATTTTATTGCCATCTGTATCTCCCTCTAAGCAGCCTGGCTCATAGCAGCCACACCTGCATCTGTTTTGACTAGCCTGCATAACCCACACATTTTTCATTCAAAACTATCCTATTACCTTCTTATTTATGTGCATTTCTTTTCATATACAGTGTCTGCCAAAATAGTAGCAAATGCTTTATCAATGTATAGATTTCAATTAAAAAAAAAAAACTAAGCAAAAGGAAAAAAATGTAATATTCCAAAAGCCGCACTTCTTTTATCACCAGTACACTTTTTTCCATCATCATAAACTTAGTTTCATGAACATGTTAATATCTTTGATTTAAACGTTGGGGTAGAAATCAGGACAAAATTTAAATGGCATCTCCAGGACTTAATCTCAGATATTCTGGTTGAAGATAGATAAGGTTGTGGCTGCCTTTCAAGTTTTTTAAATTTTTTAAATTATATAATGTCAGAAAATTAAATCACAAATGAGCCTTCCAGATTGTGAGGAAAATTACTTGGCTGAAAATGACTTTGCATAATGTCCAAATCTTAAAGTATCTGCTCAGATGTTTGTTTCATCTGAAATGCTGCCAAATCCATCTGTATTGAGGAAAGCACTATGAGGTAGTTTCAGAGAAAGCGAAAACAAAACACAGCAAAACAAAAATGCTATCACAGAAATTGGACAGCCCAATGTGTTAAGTATTACATACCTGGTACAAAAGCAGAAAAACTGAAGCTCTCTGGGAAGTTATGGCAATAGCGGTCTAGGAATTCTGGGCCTTTAGAAATTATAATTCCCAGTGATGCAGGGATGTGCAGCACCAGACACTGTTTAATCACAATGAGCTGCCATCTTGCCTCATTAAATTGTATCTTACAACATAGAAGTGAATGAAAATATATTAGGATTTGGGAATGTACTATTCCTTGACCTCCTTGCACATATAAATTAAAGATGTTCTGGAAAATATGAGGACTTGATATTCACTGCCCTGGAGCACTTTTCTCCAACCTTTTAGATTCCTGCACTCTATTAGTAAAATATTGTAGTACAACAACTCTATAGACTGATACATGCTGCTCTCAATCCATATACTGCATATTAGGACAGCTTTTCTAAATGAGCATGAATATAAATGGAAATTCTAGTATTTTATTCACCTACCACAGTGAATCATCTTTATATTTTACTTTGTAAACTGCTATAGTTGGCCAGTGAGTCTTCACTTTTAATGAGTCACATGTCACTTTGAGAGCTGGATAAATCATAAAAGACATAAACTAGCAGCCTTCCAAAAATGTGCATATGAACCCACTCCAGACACATATACTTCCAGAGCTTGGGGAAACTCTATAGAATGTACTCTTCAGCCACCCTAGTGACGTACCATAGACCATATTGTCTAGATGGGACAAAATAATAAATTTTGACTAAGAATTTATTGTTTAGAGAGAGAAAATAGTAAATGATGTTTGAAATAAGAACACAATAAATAACAGACAAGTCTGTGACTTTTGGTTTAGATGAGACCACTTTTGATTTTGAGGAATGAAAGGAGTTAGGTTTTTGGTCCTGATGTATAAAATGATTCATGAAGTTTCACATACAGACAGTAGTTTTATTTTCAGCAGATATTTACCATATCTCTCAATGAATTTTTTGCCAATTTTTGGTAAATATGCATTGCTATAGATATACCAACTTTTTTGGTTATGTTTAGTAACTAATTTCATTTTTTCTCTCGATGTAAGTATAGCTATTAGACCTTGCATTGAAAGCCTTCTTTGTGCCAACAATCGTCCTTTTATTATTACCTTCATAGTTGCTTTAAATGACACATTTATTTCGAGTTCTACTTCCGGCAGAGTTGCAAAGTCTATCAGAATGTTACCTCCTGTCTCAGAAGCTTATTAGATATTGCTGCCACCTAAATATTGTAATAAAAGTGTTTAAATAAAAATCTTCTTAACATTTAAAATGAGTTATGTTTAAAGAGAAAAATAAACTTTGAATCAAGAAAAGACAATATTGTCCCAAGTTATGCAAATATATTTACTTTGATGTAGGTCTTGCTACTAAAGAGAGAGAAAACTTCCAACACAACAGTGTGGAAAACGAGGATTAACAACTATTATGTCAGGCATTTGCTTGATACGGGTCAATGTATTCAAAATCCCTTTTCAAAAGTTGTTGTTAAATAATGTACTAGCATAATCAAAATACATTTCTTTCTAAAGCTCCTATTTCCAACAAAACTCATATCATACGTGAAATCAAAAATTTTTTGAAACCTAAATTTGGTAATAAAATTTTTACTTTTTTTTTTTTTTTGAGACAAAGTCTCACTCTCTCGCCCAGGCTGAAGTGCAGTGGCATGATCTTAGCTCACTGCAACTTCCACCTCCCAGGTTCAGGCAATTCTCCTGCCTCAGCCTCCTGAGTATCTGGGATTACAGGCATGTGCCACCATGCCCAGCTAATTTTTGTATTTTCAGTAGAGATGAGGTTTCACCATGTTGGTCAGGCTGGTCTCGAACTCCTGACCTTGGCCTCCCAAAGTGCTGGGATTACAGCCGTGAGCCACTGCACTCTGCCTACTTATTTATTAAAAATTTTTTTTAAATCTCAGTTTTTCAAACCATAAATTAAGTCAAAACGTTTATTAAGAAAACACTAACTTTAGGCCTGGGGTGGTAGCTTATGCCTGTAATCCCAGCATTTTGGGAGGCCGAGGCGGGCGGATCACGAGGTCAAGAGATCAAGACCATCCTGGCCAACATGGTGAAACACCATCTCTACTAAAAATAGCCGGGCATGGTGGCACGTGCCTGTGGTCCCAGCTACTCCGGAGGCTGAGGCGGAAGAATTGCTTGAACCCAGGTGGCGGAGGTTGCAGTGAGCTGAGATTGCGCCATTGCACTCCAGCCCGGCGACAGAGCAAGACACCGTCTCAAAAAACAAACAAAAAAAACCCACCACTAACTTTAGAAATAAAACTGTGCTTGACTTATCCAAGTGTAGTGGTTTATACCACAAGCCAGGGGATAAATGTGTCTTCATTACACTTTGTTGGGAGACAGTTTTCTAACAGTCTCTTGAATTTTATAGAGGGCAGCGGTATATACTACCTTTGTTTTATATTATCTTTTCAAAGATGCTTGTATAGCAAGCAGCCTTAGAAGACAGAGATGATGTCTCTCCCAAGGACAAAGAGCAAGCAGGCTTACGGCCCATTTTTAAAGATTTTGTTCCTAAACTTAGGATTTATCTTCTGCAGTACAATTCACTGTGTGCAGGGGTAGTTTATTTATTTTCACATTGCTGTGTGGGACCCAATGAACCAGTGCAAGATAATGCTGATACCCTTGGTCACGTGCTATAGTTGCGTGAGTGAGTGAAGTTCTCTTTCTCTGACCCGGGAGTCTCATGTCTTCTGCCAGCATCCATGAAATTGTGGCAGTCTAGCTGGTTAACTTGCAGGTAGGTATTATTGACAGTTTGGAAATGAGGATGGGATGCTGAGAGAAACTTGCCTTCCTGGAAGAGAAAGAGTAAGGCTATTATGAGCTGATTAATGGGGTTAGAGGGAAAAGTTTATGGGAATCGATGACAAATATGGTAACCAAACTACAAATCAGCAGAGTGAGAAATGATCCCAATTTTATTGCCTATGACTAAGAATGAATTCAGAAATGTTGCATGTCAAGCATCAGAAAGTAGGTTCAAAGACAATGACCTAAACAATGACTTGGTTGTTGTTACCTCTCACTGAGTGAGCAGATTCTCTTTCCACTGGGCCATCAGCCTCAAGTCTACTCCTCAAGCCTCAAGTCAACAAGTTAAATTGTTGAGGTTAGAACTGTAGCCTTGGAAAACTCTTACAGGTTGTAACACACAACCAACTTGGGTTAGAGGAAGGTTCTGACCTTCTTTAGACAAGAGTTACAGATATATCCATTTTAAAAACAAAAATTAGTCAAGTAATTATTCTAAATGAAAAAATTAAAATTATCCATAGTTTTGATATACAACATGATCTGTTGATGTATGTATACATTGTGGGAAGGCTAAGTCAAGCTAATTTACATATTCATTACCTCACACACATTTTTTTGGAGTGAACATTTAAAATCTGCTCTTCATCACACACTGATGTCCGTGGGGCATGGGGGACTAGAGGAGGGATGGGGGGGTAGGGAGTTGGGGAGGGATAACATGGGGAGAAATGCCAGATATAGGTGATGGGGATGGAGGCAGCATGTATTATCATGTATGTACCTATGCAACAATCCTGCATGTTCTGCACATGTACCCCAGAATCTAAAATGCAATAAAATACATATAAAAAATAATAAATAAAAAAACTCTGTTCTTGCAGCAATTTTCCAGTATGAAGTAAATTGTTATTAACGATAGTCACCACACTGCACAATAGATCTCTTAAATTTATTTCTCCCGAGTGAAATTGTGTATGCTTTGACCAACACAGGGTACATTTATACTTACCACAAAGAAGAAAATGCATGGCCTCTATGAGCAGAAACCAGGTAAGTTATTAGAACTTGGCTAGTTCATTCGAGAGAGGAGGGCGGTACGTGCATAACGCTTGTCGAGAAAGAATGGCAACAGCTGGGCCATCGTAAGGCCGAGCCCTTCCTGCAGTATTTCATGCCAACTTTGGATTCTTTCGGAGATGACAGTCCAAGGCCTCAGAGTGTTTTTCAGTAGGACCCGGCTTCAATGGGAGCTTTGTCCCTTTTGGAGAGATTTCTCTAGAGCTGACAAAGTTCCACAGAAAGGCATACATGAGGCATTGTTATGTTTTAAACTATGTCCCCACAGAAGTCCTGGCCTCAAGAACCTTAGAGTGAGTCCTTATTGGTTATGCGGTCATGGCAAATACAATGCCTTAAGTTAAGATGAGGTTGCTGGGTGTGGTAGCTCACGCCTGTAATCCCAGCACTTTGGGAGGCCGAAGCGGGTGGATCATGAAGTCAAGAGATGGAGACCATCCTGGCCAACACAATGAAGCCCGGTCTCTACTAAAAATACAAAAAAATTAGCTGGGTGTGGTGGCATGCACCTGTGGTCCCAGCTACTCGGGAGGCTGAGGGAGAAGAATCGCTTGAACCCAGGAGGCGGAGGTTGCAGTGAGCCGAGATTGCACCACTGCACTCCAGCCTGGTGACAGAGCAAGACTCCATCTCCAAAAAAAAAAAAAAAAAAAAAAAGACGAGGTCATACTAGAGCAGGGTGGGCCACTAATGCCATATGCCTGGTGTCCTTATACAAAGGAGAAATTTGAACATAGAGACACCAGGAAGAACATCATGTGAAGATGAAGGCAGAGAGGCAGTATTAGTTGGATATACCAAGAAACACAAAGGTGATTTTCAGCAAACCTTTAGATGATAGGTGGGAGGACTAGAACACATTCTTTCTCAACAGCCGCCAGAAGCAACCAACGATGCAGACACCTTGATCTTGGACTTGCAGCCTCCAGAACTAAGAAACAATACATTTCTGTTGTTTAAGTCACCCAGGCATTATGGGTCTTTATCAGGGAAGCCCTCCCAAATGAATACAGGCATTGACTAATCTTTGGGCTTTTGATGCTTCTGAATTGGGTTTGCATTGCTGATGAGAGTGACTCACTGGAGAATGAGAGACTGACATTGTAGGCAACTTGTTGAGGCCAGACCTGTAGCCTTGGAAAATTCCTACAGCACCTGCATTTAAATTAGACAAGAACTTAAGTATATTAGCTTGATAATGTGGCACCAAATGTCTCAGATTAAGGTGCATCCCTTTATAAAAAATTGTCCCTGTGCCAGTCAATCCCATGTCAGGTAATAGGTACAAATCCATGCCCACAGTTGGAATACAATGCTGCTATGGCTGCTTGGTCAAGGGATCCCCAAAGTTGAGACAGATAGTGTCAGCAATGAGGACTCTGCCACCTATTAGTGTGTTGGGCAGATCAAATACATTGCAAGTTCATTTGGTTGAGCTGCCCCTGTGTGCTCATAACTAAAAGTAAGTGCTCCTCCTTTATTGTTAGAAAGATAATCTTTCCATCTTACTCCTGACCCATTCCTCTCTCTCTACTCTGATCTCAGCTACTTTAAGGAAAGAAAGGATTAGGGGTGAGGTCGAGCTCTCCCTGCCTCCAAAAGGAATCAAAGGCCATAAGCAACCACCCAAGTGTAGCAGGGGGCAGAGACTTTGGGGAGGGGAGGGAATTATTATTGTATGCCTCTGTTGTATACTGACACCCAGGGCCCTTGTCAGGCTGGAACATGCAAACCTTCAGTTAATGGAGTTTGGGCAGGAATCGGAGTAGAGAAGGGAGGCAAGTGTGACCTGTGTTTGTGGTCTTTTTGGCCAATTCAGTGTGTTATTTTTTATCATATCCACATCTGAATACACATTACAAACTGATGTGCTCATACTGCCTTGTCCAGGAAGTGCCAGAAAATCCTCCTGATCAGTAACAGCAGGAGGTAGATAAGTGCAAGTATCTAAGGGGCCCCGCAACCCTCATGACTTCTATGAGCTACAGGTCTCCATGTCTGATAGTCTTTGGCGATTGAAGCCTCTGATAAAGAGGGTCGGCCTTCAGCCAGAATTCTTTGTTGAGGTCTGGACTCATCACCTCCTTGACACAGGTGTCAAATCACTTTTATTTAAAGACTTTTTAGCTTGCTATTGTGCTCCTTCAAAACGAAATACCTGACCCACGAAAGTCTTGTGACTCTCCAGTCTGATGTTTCCATTTTGGGGTGAGATGACTCAGACTCAATGATTAATAAGATGGAAAGGGCCTAACAATCCCTACTTGGTAAGTGGAAATGGTATATTCAGAAATGCAGCTAGCCCACTGCCAGCAGCACCTTGTCTTAACATAAAAAGTAGCAGCTATGACTCTGGGGAAACCTTTATTCCTCACTTTGCCATTTACAGCAAAGCTGCTGACTCAATGGGACCTTCAAGTCACAGATTTTTCCTGTGTGTCTGTGCCTCTTCCCCTGATGGTTCAGCTAAACTGAAACCGAACAGTGTCCTATTTTTACTTATTCTTAGATTGTTGCTAACGTCCTAGTTGTTTGGTCTGTTATTTGGAATACTACATATTGGCAGATTGAAGGCATCCATTTGGGGATCACGAACTCTGGATACAAATTGCAATTGAGGATGCCTGTATTGTTCATGTAAATTACAATGGCAGGGACCTTTTCTGTAAGGACACTGGCTGGATCATGATGCCCAAGTGATAACACAGCTTGAATAGCAGCCTGGACCTGTTTCAGTGTCGTTTCTTGTTCTATGCTCCACTCAAAACTAGAAGTTTTTTGGGTCACTGGATAATGGGCTAGAGCAACATACCCCAACATATTGTCTCCAGAATCCAAATAGACCCACTAGGCCTTGTTCCTCTTCCTTGGTTGTAGGACGGGCCAAATGCAATAATTTGTCTATCACCTTAAAAGAAATATCCTGACATGCTCTACTCCATTGGACCCCTAGAAAGCTTACTGAGATAGAAGGCCCCTGAATTCTAATCCAATTTATTTCCCACACACTGATACACAAATGTCTTTCCAATAAGTCTAGAGTAGTTGCTACTTTTTGCTCAGTATGTTCAATCAATATAATGTCATCGATGTAATGAACCATTGTGACATTCTGTAGAAGGGAAAAGTGATCAAGGTTTCTAGGAACTAATTTATGACACACAGCTGGAGAGTTGATATACCCCTGAAATAGGACAGTGAAGGTGTATTGCTGGCCTTGCCAGCTGAAACCAAACTGCTTCTGGTGGGCCTTTATAGGCGGGTATGGAGAAAAAGGCATTTGTCAGATTAATAGCTGCATACCAGTCACCAGGAGATGTGTTAATTTGCTCAAGCAATCAAACCACATCCGGTACAGCAGTGGAACTGAAGTAGCTACCTCATTAAGCTTAAGATAATCTACTGTCATTCTCCAGGAGCCATTTGACTTCCGCACAGGCCAAATAGGACAGTTGAATGGGTATGTGGTGAGAATCACTGTCATGGAGGGTTGGATGGCTCCTATGCCAGAAGTTGGGGAATTAATTACACTGGGGCTGGGGAGGCCACTTTCACAGGGGGCTGGGAGACTTCTTCCACTGCAAAGAAGACTCATCAGAATTTAGAGACTCAATGTCTCCAGCTTCATCAGGATATTTGCACAGGTCTTTATCCTTAATTTATAGAATCTCATTCTTTCCAGTTGATACCCTCACTTTAGCATAGACACCCTGCAGCCTGGAAAGTCAACTTCATCGCAATTCAGCCAATTGCAGAATGAGGTTTTGTATTTAATTTTTAGCAGTTTCAGTCCTGTGGCTATAGGAGATAAGGGTCTTTTTCAGGGTACACTTGGAAACTCTGATTATTTCTATGGCTGGGAATTTGAATCCCTGGGGTCATTATTTTCTTTTGCAACTTCTCCAATGACATTAGGACCAGGCAGTCTATATTGTTATATGCAGTAGTTTTCCAGAAGTGTTCAAAAGTATAATATACAAAGTTTCCCACCTCCTTTCTTCTTATTATTGGTTCATGGGAAGTATGCAGTGCAGGTATTTTGCATATCTCTATTGCCAGATGATGTCACTGACTACCCCTGCACTCTTTACTACTGGAAATAGAATCCTTGGCATCTTTAAATCTAATCAGATCAGACAGCCAATTCCATAAACCTTGGAATGAATTCAGAAAACTCATTCTTAATCTGTTCTTTTAGAGTCAGTCTCCATACCAAAATCTGTATTAGAGTTCTCCAAAAATATGTATTATTATAAGAAACTGGCTCAGGTAATTATGGAAGGTGAAAAGTCCCACAATCTGCTGTCTGCCAGCAAGTCAGAGACCCAAGAAAGCTGGCAGTAAAATTCAATCAAAATCTGAAGAACTGAGAATGAGAGGATTTTATCTGAATCCCAATCCTAGGGCAGGAAACAATGAGATGAGATGGTGCTATGGTTTGGCTCTGTGTCCCTACCCAAATCTCACCCTGAATTGTAACAATCCCCACATGTCAAGGGTGGGATCAGATAAAGATCATTGAATCATGGGGGCAGTTTACCCCATGCTGTTCTCATGACAGTAAGTTCTCAAGAGATCTGAGAGTTTTATACAGGGCTCTTCCCCGTTTGCTGGGCACTCATTCTCTCTCCTGCTGCCCTGTGAAGAGGTGCCTTCCACCACGATTGTAAGTTTCCCAAGGCCTCCCTGGTCCTGTGGAATTATGAGCCAATTAAACCTCTTTCTTTATAAATTACCCAGACTCAGGTATTTCCTCATAGCAGCATGAGAATGGACTACTACAGATGGTCTAGCTCAGGCAACGAGGGAGAAAAAAAACACTGAATTCTTGCCTCCACCTTTTGTTCTATTCAGGCTTTTGAATGGATCAGGTGATGCCTACCAATACTGGGGAGGGCGATCACACCACTGAGTGCATCAGTGTGATGCCAATCTCATTCAGAAACAGTCTCATAGACACAGCCAGAAATAATATTTAATCTGGGCACCCTGAGGCCAAGTCAACACATTAAAATTAACCATCATAGGAAAAATAAGAGATTTTCAAGTGTCTTCAACCCCAGGAGTAGATCATGATGCCTGCATGAGACTGGAGATGTTTCCAAAGTGAAGTCATCCTTGATTTCTAGGAAAGCTTTCTCAAGAGGTAACTAATTAATCATTTATGCATACAATACAAGCAGTTATCCTGTGATGGGTGTCATACAGTAAAATTTTTCCCTGACTTTAGCTGAAGGGATTAAATATACCACCTTGACCCCCAAAGGCATTCAGCTAATACAAAATTGCTGACCAGGGTCCTCATGAATGATAATAAAATCACCCTAGACTTTCCCCTTGCAGGCCAAGGTGGCATCTGTGTAATTATGAATATACCCTGCCTTTGGCTAAGTGGAAAAGTCACTAGAGAAACTTGAGGAAAAATTTACCTGGTGTTCTAAGGTAGACTTGGTGGTTTAGGGATTTGTTCAGCTGGTTGAGTCCAGGACTGGATGGGGTGGTGAGGCAGAACACGACTGAGGTCAGTTTCACAGGTTGGCCTCATTCTACTGCTTGGAGTCCTGTCAATAGTAACTGCAATTAAATGCTATATAAGCCAAATGGAATAGATTTAGGCCCAGCTCTTTTGATCAGATTAATCAGAGTTCTGATGGAGTGATGTATCCATGGGAAAATTCTCCAGAAGACAAGATGGTGTAGAAACTAGGGGAGAACATTGTTGGGAGGTGGTCTCTCCTTTTGATTCATGTCTTATGAGCAGAGGATCTGAGTGTCTTTGTTCTGCACCAGCTTTCCTGGGATATTTGTACAACAAACTGTCTTGGAAGATAGAGATCGAATTTCTCTCTGGAACAAGGGGCAGGCATGCTTACTATTCAGTATAAAAGATTCATGTTCCCTAAGTTCAGGGTTCCTCTCCTGTAATGTAGCCTACTTCATGTACAAGTGCCACCTTGACCTGTTTTCATCACTCTGTGGAACCGAGACTCAAGAAACTGGCTACTCTGGCTATCGCTGTTGCTGTGAGTAATACATTCTTTACTGACTAACCCAGAAATCTTATGTTTTTGCCAGCATCTAAGAATGCAACAGGCTGACTTATTAACTTTCAAGTAGAATCAGCTTGGGGTATCATGCTAACATTTTTAAGTGGGATGATTTCACCAGGCACAGTGGCTCATGCCTGTAAACTCAGTCCTTTGAGAGGCTGAGGTGGGTGGATCATGAGGTCAGGAGATCGAGACCATCCTCGCCAACGTGGTGAAACCCCATCTCTGCTAAAATACCAAAAAGGAGCTGGGTGTACTGGCATGTGCCTATAGTCCCAGTTACTTGGGAGGCTGAGGTAGGAGAATCCTTTGAAGCCAGGAGGTAGAGGTTGCAGTGAGCCGAGATCGCGCCACTGCATTCCAGCCTGGTGACAGAGCAAGATTCTGTCTCCAAAAAAAAAAAAAAAAAAAGCGATGATTTTACAGATTATTCGAGATCACTAAAGAATTTAGTCTGGCTAAAGAATTTCATTGTATTTGGCATCACTAGGCCCACAATGTCTCACCAATGAATGGTTTTCCTTGAGTGACAGCTGCCTCATTTGGGTGGCATAAATATTCACGATTTACTGCATTCCCCAACACTCACTTTTACCTCAAACCCACCCAACTACCTCATCACTTTATACTTCCTACTGAGTCCCATGGTCTTTGCATGCCTAGATAGTACAGCAAACCTGTCCTATGAAAATTAACAATAAAACTAAGTGTGCATGTTCACTGTGTAACATCTTTCCTTGATATAATCCTATATTCTATAATAGGGCTCTATTGAATTACTTGTCTTGGTTCATATAAATGTGATTTGATTCATGGTCAGAAGAACTGTATATGGCTGTCAGGAACATAGTTTCCATAAAGTGAGGTTCACTTTAATACGGTTCTCCCATAATGCTGATCTGAGATAGCTGTATGTATTTATTTTGTGGATGACACAGTAGTGGTGGGTTTGCATCTGAGTTGGCCCAGTGGCACGGACATTAATAGCCATGGGCTGAGTCCCCAAAGCGTCTTTCAGTCAACAGTTCAGTAATTGTGAGTCCTTCTGAGCTCTCTTTCCGATGATTTTGAGAGCAGATAGAGTCTCAGATCACACCTTTGCCTGCTGTTCACAGACAGAGTAACTCTCTAGAATGGAACCTGATCTTTCACACAAGGGCAAGGCACAGCCCCTCACCTGTTTGGATGGATAGAGTGGGGGATAAATAATTTCCTCATCTTCTTGCCCAGAGAAGGATGTTCATGCTACAGGGAACAAGGTTATCATCACAGTAAGCAATCTTCAGGCTGCAATGTCCTCAGTTGGTACTGTGTTTTGAAAGTAGCCTAATCTTGCAATAAAAAAAAAAATTCGAGTGACTGACAGGAGCGATTCCTTTCTTACATATCGTCTAAGGATGGTGGTGATAGAGATGGGGGATGGGGCTCCACCAGCCACTCATGACCCGGATCAACAGATTGCTCTCATCTTCAATGTCACCTTGAATATACATATTTACTGAGTAGTTGGGGAAGGAATCTTGGGAAGTATGTGTGGCAAATTGTTAAATTCAGTCCTGGAGAAGGCACGTATCCCTTCTGTTCACATTCTATTTCCTTGAACAAGTAACATGGCCAACCTTACTACAAGGAAGGCTAAAAGAAGATTGGAATGATTAGCATGATCAGTACAATTCCTGCCACAAGTAATTTACTGATGGCTAACTCAGTGCCAGTCAATGTTCACTTCATGGTATACATTGTTTGAGAGTTTCACATAATCATGAGATTGAAGGTTTTTGTCTAGACCAGGCCCATCTTGAAGCCTGGGAGCAATGTAATCCCGAGTGTAAGTGACAATAAAGGAAGAATGAATGTGGCAAGCCATCTGAGCCTGCATGGGGACAGTCTGAAGTCCCCTATTCCTGCTCCCAAATCAGGAAAACGCTGATAGTGCTCCACGGATTGTGTCCATCAATTACAGAGCCTACTGAATCAAAGCCTCTAAATGTGGCCCACCTGCTTGGGAGTCATTGGAGGGAGGGAGTGCTTGTTAAAGTGCAGACTCCCGGAAACAATAACTTATTTATCAATTAAAACAGCAGGGTTGGGTTTCAGAAATCTTCACTTGAAAGAAATACCCAAGATATATTTATCAACATTTTCAATCCCAGGAGACTACTACAGTCTCTCCCTAAGGGTTGGGGTACTTCTATTAGTATTTGCCCGCGGGATGGCAAGCTCTTCTAAAAGCCGACATTTCCATAACTATGCGGATTATTAGATACACATTTCAATCTATAGTTTCCCTACTTCCCGGACCATGGACATATTTAGGGAGGCAGAGAAACACCAAGCTTCCTAGAATCCCTTCTATTTAATTTTTCCTGTCTCTTCTAGGCTGAATAGGTTAGAGTGACAATATGCATGGTTCAGGACACTGAGGCAAGAACAGAAGAGATAGATATCCCCTAAAATGCCAGGCCATACAACATAGGATTACACCCTGGACCAAGGACAAAGGATCTTTATTAGGAATCTGTACCAGGAAATAGTAGCTAAGCCAGAAGATGAATACCAGAAGATGAATGATAGAATTGGGATGTAGAAAAGTCAATCAATTTGTTTATAGTGGTTTTACTGCATTTATACTCAATTGTAAGCAGTATGTTCAGTGTAATTTATGGTAATTTATGATAATTGTAAGCAGTATGTTCAGTGTAATTTATTGATTTTCACTCACAGGTTATAAATGAGGTGTGATTCCTCTTCTCTGGATGATTTCTCCCTGCCCCAGAGATGAACAGTTCCATATGCTGCTTCACTTTTTTTCCCAGCCTTCGGCTTCACTGATGGCTTTCTCTCAAAGCTCATTCTCACCTCCCAGGATGAACTACTTCTGTCTACACATTGCTGACGTTCAAATGTAATGAAAACATGGGAAGATTAATTCATGCTGGGAAACAGATCCAGGATTTTGGTGGTAGTTTATGGAGGTTCTCTAGCTGTAAGAAGGAAGGTAGGAACAAACTTTAGATTCTATAATGCACTTACCAGCACAAAAAGCAAAGATTTTTTTAACTCCCCAATTCAAAACGATTAAATAATGCTATCTCCTTGTTAAATGTCACTCCAAATCTTCATATTATGTAATGTATGCAGCCCAACTAACCCAAATCAATGATGTTTTGCATTCCTTTTTATGGAGGAAATGAGTAGAATTCACATATAGTTTATGTTTCTCTCATAGTCTTTCCAGTCTTCCTCATAATATTGTGAGCTACCCAATATTTATCTGTTTCTTTTTTCTTTAAGTCAGCTATAGCTCGTTTCTGTTGCTGGGGAACGACAACAGAACAGACAGCAAACAACTCTGGCTAACGGATGAAACAATTTCCCTAACAATCCTTGGGAAATGTACCTTCTTTCAAAGAAAGCTGTGGCTATCTGTGAGAGGGGAATCCTACCTTATACATAAGCAGCATCAGTACTGCCATTTTCTCAGTGAAACAGAGTGTGGCCACCAGGAGAATATGAGATTGACACATACAGTACTAGAATATATGTAGAAGTAGAGTGGGAGACTTTCTACTATTACTGACATCTCTGAAAGATTAACATAGAAATGTAACTTTCAGGTCTGCTTTGTCAGCTCAGGCTGCTATAACAGAATACCATAGACTAGGTGGCTTAAACAACACAAATCAATTTCTTACAGTTCTGGAAACTGAGAAGTCCAAGATCAAGGTACAGGCAGATCCAGTTCTTGGTGAAGTCCCTCTTCCTGACTTGCAGATGGTTCTTCTTTTGATGTATCCTCATATGGTAGAGAGGAAGCTCTGCTCTCTTTCTTTTCTTGTAAGGACACTAATCCCACCTTGGAGGGACCAACTCAATGTCTTCATCTAAATAGAATTACCTCCCAAAGGCCCTAAACACCATCACATTGGAGGTTAGAGCTTCAACATATGAATTTTAGAAAGATACAAACATTCAGTTCAAACCCAGATCTCTGAGATGTCTCAGAATTTGTGTCAGGAAAGACACATAACATAGTGTATTAGCATCCTACTGCTGCTGTGACAAGCTGTTACAATCTTAGTGACTTAAAACAACAGACTTTTTTTTAGCTTATAGCTCTAGAGATCAGAAGTTCTAAAATCAGAGTGTCAGCAAGGCTGCTTTCCTTCTAGAGGTTCCAAGAGGTGATCTATTGCCTTTCTTTTTGCAGCATCCAGAGACCCTCTGCCTTCCTTGGCTCATGGTCTCTTCCTGGCATCGTTTTGACCTCGGCTTCCATCATCACATCTGCTTCTCTGACTTTGTCATTCCTGCCTCCCCTTGTAAGAACAGCTGTGATTAAGTTGGGCCCACTCAGAATTCAGGATAAGCTTTGCATATCCATTTCCTTGACTTACTCACATATGCAAATTATCTTTTGCTTTGTAAGGTGACATAGTCACAGGCTCTGAGGATTAAGATATGGGCATCTTGTCAGAGAGGGGTGTGGGGGTGGGAATTATTCTACCTACCACTGCATACCTAATGGTTACATAGGTAAGAAAATCCACATAAAGCTCTGGATGCCCTAATTCAGTTTATTCTACCATTCCATTTTTTTTTTTTTAATGTGTAGAAACCCCTGGTTTCACTAAAATCAGCTTTACCTAGGATCAGACTGAAGAAACCACAGACTTCCATAGCAGGCCAAAAATGTAGATCTAAATCACCTTAGAAATTATGAGCAACTTTTTTATTTGTCTCTTGGCAGGAATGAAAATGAAAGTAACAGATTGCAAAGAAGAAACAAGAACAGTTCAATAAACAGAATGCACATTATTTTGGTAGACAGAATATAAAAACATACCTTAGGGTTGATTATCATTTACCGCAGATAACAGAACACATCTGGGGCTGCTTTGTTCTACTGACTTTGGTTCCTGTCTGTGGGACTGGAGTCATAAAAGAGGACGGGATCAGAAAACCATGGCTTATATTCTCTATAATACCAGGATAGGATTTAAGCAAGTTATTTTATCTCAAACATGGCATATGTGAAAATGGATTATTTACATTTTTATAAGGAGGATGCTTAAATGAATAATAAAACTCACATTTACCATGTGTATTTGTCTGTATTCATGCTACCGATAAAGACATACCCAAGACTGGGTAATTTATAAAGAGAAAGAGGGTTTAATGAACTCACAGTTCCACATGGCTGGGGAGGCCTCACAATCATGGCAGAAGGCCAAAGAGACATCTGACATGGCAGCAGACAAGAGAATCAGAACCAAGCAAAAGGGGTTTCCACATATAAAACCATCAGATCTTGTGAGACTTATTCACTACCATGACAACAATATGGAGGAACCAACCCTATGATTCAGTTATCTCCTGCCAGGTTCCTCCCACAACACATGGGAATTATGGGAGCTACAATTCAAGATGAAATTTGGGTGGGGACAAAACCATATCACTATGTATCAATCACTGTAATATGTCCTTTACAGATATCATCACATTTAATCTCTATAATCTCTTTATTTTCAGGAAACATAACTAAGGTTTAGAGAGGTTCAGTAATGTGTCCACAGCAGGGCCAAATGCTAAAACACCATTACAAATACCACTCATTCTCTTATCTCCTTTGTGGTATTTGCTCATATTAAGAATATTTAAAATTCATATAATTCAAATAAAGAACCTTATAATAAAAATAGAAAATTAAATGTGTGGTCTATATTACTGCATATAAAGTGCTTTCAGATGTGTTAACTCATTTGATCGTTACCAAAAACCCTACAAAACCCTATACAAGTTGCTATTTGTATTACCTCATTTTCACAGACAAGAGAAGTAAAGTTTAAGGAAATGAGGTGGATTCCCCCAATTTATATATCTATAATGTTGCAGATATTTCTTTTGTAATTTCTTTCTACTCTTCTAGGCATTATAACAAACATCCAACTGTTGATTTTCCTGACACTTAAAGAAAAATAAAATGATGTCTTCAGGAAAGACTTATGGGTTTGGGTTAAGTGATCTGCAATGGGTGAATGAGGAACTGAAGACCCTAATTAATGTGTGAGCCCCTCACTGTTCTGAGCTGCAGGTGCACACGTGAAAAACAGCAAAACACTACCTACCTGATAGAAAACCACTGGGGATAACTCTTATGATAGTACTTTGTAACTTGCAAGGTTTATTTAGAGGTAAGTTTTCCTGTTTTTTGTTTTTGTTTTTGTTTTAACTGAAAAGCATTAGAATCATTCCACTGGAACAAATATTGCTTTGCTTTCCAATTTTTTCAATAGGGTATTGATGCTTCACAAGTGAAGCATCACTAATGGTTCCTTAAATGTGGCCAAACCAGTTTAAGTCTTTTTGTTTCTATTTTTCAGATTGATATGTAACATGGGGAAGCTATCATGTGGAGACACTGTTATCGTTAAAGATCCTTCAAGCTATATTCTAAATGGCTTTTTATTACACATGCATGATTTATAGGCATACCAGTAAATATACTCAATCCAATTCTTTTGCTTCAAATGTCAATAAAAATTAGTAAGATTTTAATACATCAGCACAGGTTAATTTTAACATTTTATGTTGCTAATGAATCACCCATTCAGGAAAAAAAAGCCCATGCTTTATGTAAACAGATTAATGGACAATTTTCCTCCTTTTCGTTGTTTTTACTCATGCTATTTGTTAGAAAACTGATAATATAGTTGTATGTTACGAATCTAGTTAGATTTGGATTTTATTTTCAACAACAGCAACAATAAAAAACAGTAAATCCGAACATGAAAAGTCCATGTAAGCAAGAGATTTTCCTGCAGATTGTCACTTGTCCCTCAGTGTTTCACATGTGAGTCTTTGGCTTATTGTTACTAACTCCAAACAATCAGTAACAGAGTTATATAGTCCTTTAAATTTTACAAGATGCTTTCAAACATGTCTCATTTAATCCTCCTAGTACCTTAGTTGAGCAAGGTGGGCCAGGCAATGCTATCTATCACCATTATAAAATGGGAAGTTCCAAGCTCAGACAGGTTGACTTGCCAAGCAAGTAACTAACAAGGCTGATCTAGATGTTTTAGTTTGACATGGTTCAGCTCTTTTCACTATCCATTCACTGTCAGAGGACTTGTTACATTTACATAAAGTGGACAAACGGGGTTTAGTCTCACTAATTGTTGACTTCAAACACAGCAATAACAACAACCACCTCAAAAACAATATAGCTAACAATTTCTGAGGACTTAACATTTGCCACTCATGTTTTAAGCATCACACTTGCAAACCTGTGAGATAGGTAATATTTTTAACCTTCTCATCACTGGAGTATATTGACCTGTTATTTTTCCAATTTTACAAGTGGAGAAACCGAGTTCAAATACATTAAGTAACTTGGTCAATGGTGAAAAGCAGGCTGTCTGACTAAAGAATCTGTACGATTAACTCCTACACTAAACTGTCTCCACAGCTAATTTTTGTTTTTTAAATCAAACAAAGTTACAAAGAGAAGCAACCAAGTACTTGAATTAGTCGCTCTTATTCTCTGCTATTTCCTATTTATATCCATCATAGTAAGTAGATTAGACATAGACTAGAGAAGCATAATATTTTAATATAATATCTAGAGGCTTTTGAGAGTTGTGGATAGCTTTTGAAATCTAGATTCCAACTACAGCTGGGTAAGACTATAGGAAAGAAAGTATATTTAGCTCTAGCTCGATGGGAATCAATATCCTCCAACCTTTCTGAGGACAACAATTCACTGCCTTACTAATTATTCTTCTTGGCTAAGATTTTAAGTTTTTGCTGTTCCCCAACAAGTTCATAAAGAGGTTTACAGATATAAGAAACGAAAATTTGACTAAATGACCTCTAAAATACTAAAAGATTGATCTACCTTGCTAAAAGTGCTCCAAGTATATCAGTCTTTCACATAATCATGGTAGAACTGACTTACTAAACTCAAAAAGAAGATGAATATAATCTTAATCTTATCCACATACAAGCTTAGGCTATAAACAAGATGACAAGTTAGCTTTTAGTTTAATCAATTTGACTTCAGAAGCATAACGTTAGACCTCAGTCTGGTATTCATAAGCTTTCCTCAAAAATAAAACATATATTATTTAATTTCATATACTCCCAGTATAATATAGTGATGTGTTGATTTAACTTAGTGCTCTTAATTATTATAATATCAATACTAAGTATCAGTTTTAATTTTCTTTTTATTTAATTTTCATACATAAATATTTGAACCCTATTAAATGAATATACATATATGTGTATGCATGACTAATGTTTTTTATTTGTAAATTCTGATGGCAAGGTAAATCTGAAAAAAATTGATGTAAAAAAAATTTTTAGAGTGCTTCTTTTAATATTCAATACTAACTTTTCATATGACAAAGCTTACAGTTCATTGGCGAGTTAACAATAAATCTGAATGTCACCTCTTTGGAATCTGAGTTTTTGAATCATTTTTTTTCCATTCATCTAGAGTCACATCACAGAATGTATCATTTAGAATGTGCTTTTCTTTGCTTGTAAGTATTCTAAATTCTTTGCTTGAAGTATTGAGTGACTATATCAGCAAAAATCATGACAACAGATGTGATTATTATGTGACTAACCAAAACCAGCAGCAAAAGATTCACAACAATCAATATCTGGCTCTTGGCCATGGAAATTAAAGAGGCACCTGAATATAAAGCAAATCATAGTTGAAGTTAAAGAACATGAAATGATCCAAAAATGGAAGCTATGGTTCCATGATAGAAAAAACTGGCAAAACACCAAAGCTTCAAGAAACATATGCACAGACCTGGGACACCCCCAAATATGTGTCTTCCTTTATCCTTAATCAAAGACTTCTAATTTTTGAATTAATTGGCAATGCTTTGAAAACAAAGGTTACAAGACTTTTAATACTTAACTTACCAAAGTGATTTATTTTTATTAGCTGAAAATGTGAGTCCCTCCACCTGACATTTCTGAAAGCCACAGATTAGCTTTTTATTTATTTTTCATTCATTAGACTGATCTTTGTGTTGATTTTAGGGCTGGCTAAGACTTCCCTAAGCTCTTCCTTTTCATCTTTAACTGATTCTCCTCAGCTTGGGGCATACATACAAGAATGCAACGCATTGTTCAGAGAATACAGCATAATCTACTTCCTGATACAATTCCTATGCTACTTGGCCAGCAGTGGTGACAATAGGTAGGGAGCTTTTAGAGGCATGCTGACTCCCTTTGGGGATCCTCTATAGCTGGCAGGCATCCTTCTGTCCCTGATCATCACAGCCTGTGTAATATCTTGTGGGCCAAACAGAAGTCAGCAAATGTTTAGTGTCTCAAACTTCTTTTAGATTCAGAATGAATATAAGACAATTGGAAAGCAAAACAGTATAAACATTTACAAATGAAATAATGTGTTGGACAAAATGACAGTAAGTGCAAAAAGCCATTGGACAAAAGGAACAGTGAGGGTAGAAGAATACAGAAGAGAGAAAGAGACAGAATGAGGTATTGGCAGACATGCTTGGCATTCATTCCCTCTCGTATCTTTCTCCGAGCTTTCCTCATTTTTCGTTCCCAGAGAACGATTCAATCTCCTTGTCTTTTGCGTATGTAATGTTTAAGGTGGAGGCACCACAACACACCCCAAGGAGACAGCACGAGTCCATTGCTGCTCAAAGGTGAACAGCTAAGAGACATAGTTTTTTCTAAAGAAAGTTTTTTAAAAACAAGTTAAAAATTATTTTATCTATTTTATTAAAAAGTCAAATAACAACAGATTCTGGCAAGGTTATAGAGAAAAGGGAACACTTACATAGTGCTGGTGAGGATGTAAGTCAGTTCAGCCATTATGGAAAGCAGTCTGGCGATTTTGCAAAGAACTTAAAACAGAAATGGCATTTTACCCAGCAATCCCATTATGGAGTATATCTCCAAAGGAATATAAATCATTCTACCATAAAGGCACATGCATGCATATACATTCATTGCAGCACTAGTCACATGGAATGAAATAAACTATTCACAAAATGAATAGTTGTGACTATATGTGAATCCACTATATGCAAAGCCATGGACTCAATCTACATGCCCATCAGTGGTAGACTGGATAAAGAAAATGTGGTACATAAACACCATGGAATACTATGCAGATGAGATCATGTCCTTTGCAGCAACATGGACACAGCTGGAGATCATTATCCTACATGAACTAACGGGAACAGAAAACCAAATACCGCATGTTCTCACTTGCAAGTGGGAGCTAAACATGGACACAAAGAAGGGTACAATAGCCACTGGGGCCTACTTGAGGATGGAAGGTGGGAAGAGGGTGAGGATCAAAACACTACTTATTGAGTACCATGCTTATTACTTGGGTGACAAAGAAATCTGTACACCAAATCTCCAAGATACGTAATTTACCGATTTAACAAACCTGCATATGTACCCCTGAAACTAAAAGTTAAAAAAAATCAGTTATGTAAAAGCAAAAAAATTCAGTTATGTAACAGTAAAAAAAATTCATCTTTGTAGAAAAATAAAAGATAGAGAAAGTTATAAGAAGAGTCATGGTCATTCCAGCCACTGCTTCTAATTACAGATGACAGCCAAATCAACACTTCCTGTGTTTCCTCTCAGACTGTTATTCTTACAGCAACATGTATGTGTCTTTGTTATTACCCACATTGCACCGTACTGTATACCGCCTCTAAAAAAATGGAAAATGATTACATTCCTGTGTTTTTTGTAAACCTGACAATACCTTTCTGCATCATCGTATGTCTAGTCACCCTCTTGTTTTTTCATGGTTGTGTAATGTGCCATTTTAATGGTTCAAAATTAGTGGTTAATGTTTGTTAAATAATGGTTAAATTTTTAATAGTTGTTTAAAACTAGGTGTTAGTTGTATGAAAGGCTGTCATCTATTTACTCATTCTACCACTGATGGACATTTTTTAAGTAATTTGTTGTTTTGTTTGTTTGCTGTACCACTATTTCCGTGTCAGTTTCCTTCATCATATCTCTCTGGTTGCTGATGCCAGCACAATCTTACTGTTTTGACATTTTCTCCAAACATATTGAGACTGTTCTCACAACAAACTATTCACATCTTAGAATACCCTCTGGCTTCTCAGGTACACTTGAGACTGACCTCACTTTTGACCTTGTTATAAAAGTCAACTGGAGTCCATACACGTCAGGTACAAACATCTTTAATAAGCTGCCACTTCCTGTTTCTCTCATCTCTCTATGGCAGGACTCGGAGCATAGTAGAATGTAGGCTGGAGGCAGAAAAGTTAAAGTCTGTGCATTTTTTACTGGTCCTTTTCTAGTTCTAGAGGGTTACAAACTCCCTTGAATTGTAGCTCCCGGATATGGGGTAGGGAACGGTGTCCCACTGGGATCAAGCCTAGAACATCGCTGGATCTTGTACCGTTTAGCAAAGGGCAGGACTGGATTTAACATGATGCCCGCCAAACTAAGTAACTGAAAATTTTTGGTGGTTCACTGAACTAGCCTCATTGACTAGAAGTAAAAATGTGTTTCTCTCAATATTATTAGCTTTAAATTTGCCATAAAACTGTCGTGGGACCAAGCCACAGAAGAAATGTTTATCCGCAAGACAAAGAAAAGCATGAGGATGCCAATAACGGAGGATATTCCTTTTAAGGCTTGTCCACTGCAAAGTACACACATACACACAAACACACCCTGCCCCCTTTTGCTTGTGTTACCACTGAGGGCAGATCTCTGAATAAATGATACATTCAGTGAGTCCACAAGAGCTGGATTTCCTCTGCTCCGGAATTCATGCAAGGAGCACGGCTGGGGATTCTCCACTGTCATTGTTACGGCCTCAAATGAAGGCCTTGTCACTGGGCGGGGGCGGGAAGGCACTGGAGCGCAGCAGCATTGAGAGCATCCGAATTCCCTCCTCTGTCCCTGATTGGTTGAAGATCTGGGGGGGGGCACCGACCAGCCCCCTGCGGCGCGACTCGCCATTGGCTAGGAAGAGGTGGCAATCAGGGCGGCCCGAGGCGGCTGTGCTAGCTCCAGCTCTCTGCTGCCTCCCCGGCCCGGTTGCGCTGTCGCCGCCGCCGCCGCTGCCTGGGTCCCTTCGGCTGGCCCTGCCTCTGCGTGGGGGCTGCCTCCCCGGCTCCCGGTGCAGACACCATGGTAAGTGCTCTCAGTCGGGTGCGGCCAGAACCTCACCCTTCCACTGCGGGACTGGCAGCGAGGGAAGTGGCCGCGCAGCCAGAGCTTGGCTGAGGGGCCCTGGGAGCTCACCGCCCGCCACCGGAGCAGCCTCGCTCCTCGCCCGCGCCCTGGCAGGGGAGGTGGGAACGCCGGGAGTCTTGGCGGGGGCGATCGGTGCCTTTGCTTCCCAGGCGGGTTCTCCACGCCACACCGCAGCTTTCTGAGCTATGGAAGTGGAGGTGCGGCAGAGGCGTGGGGTCTTCCTGGCTCCGGCGGGCGCAGCCAATGTAGGAGGCTGAGCGCCGGCGGCAGGAAAAGCTCCGGGTTCGCGTCCCCGCGCTGCCCCCGATGCCCAGCCTCTCCAGGAGCGGTGACAGGTGATGGGGGGTAAGAAGGTAGCGTGGGGGTGGGGCAGATGGTAACGGGGAGAATCCCCCAGGGATTGGGGGCCTGCTCCCCCACGATACACCCCCTTTGGTGCACAGTACCCCTAAGGGAGAGGAGCCAGGGCGGGGTAAAAGGTTAAGCCAGCGCCTTGGGAGCAGAGGCAGTAGCCTCGCCCCTAAGCCGCTTCCCAGCTACAGCGGGTCCCTGAAGCTCAAGTCTCTCCTGTCCCCGCAGTACGGATTTGTGAATCACGCCCTGGAGCTGCTGGTGATCCGCAATTACGGCCCCGAGGTGTGGGAAGACATCAAGTAAGTGGCCGGCTCCCCTGGCTGTGGCCCCGGTCGGCGCCCTGCGTGGGAGGCCCCGCGCGCCTCGCCTGGTCCTCAGCCTGCTCTCCCGGTCGCGGGCGCGCATCCTCCGAGGTGCCTCCGCGCGCCTCTCCCCGCTGCAGCTGCGCTCCCACGCTCCGGGACTGGAACCAGGAGGGGAGGGGCGGCTGGGGCCGGGCTGCGAGTGCGAGAACAGCCGAAAGGAGCCCCTAGGGGTCACCACGGCTTCCCGACCCAGCCTGAGCGTGGGAAAGCGCTGCTGGCGCTCTCAGGCTCTGCGGGCCCGGCAGCTCCCACGCGGACAGGGCCCCGAGGGACCACACGGCCTTCGCTAGGTTCCTGCGCCCGGAGGTGTTAGAAACAAACGGAAGACTTTGGCTTCTTTATGATTTACACACCTGGCATGTTAGGCCTTTTTGGTGTGCTAAAACGGGAGATTATTTCTTGAGCAACAATGAATTAATCGCATTTATTCATTCTGAAATAAAGTGAAAATTGGAAGTTTTTCATTTTCCCCAAATCCCACTGACCCCCCCTTCCCTTCCGCCTTTTTTTTTGTTGTTGTTTTTTTGTTTTTTTTTTGGTCTACTGTGGCGAAGACTTCCAGTTCTAGGAGGCATTCTAATTTCAGTCCTAGAGCTTTGAGCCCAGTACTGGGGATGTGAACGGAAATACCACACCCACCTGAGAGTTTAAACCTGTTGGAATGACTGATGGGTCAGCATGTCTGCAGGCAGGTTGATTATTTCACTCTAATAAAGTTCTCTCTCCTTTTCCCTCCCTCACTCTCATAAAATTTGCATTTAACTTATTGTATAGCTGACCACTACCAACAAACTACACCAAAACCGTATTTATGCACTTTCATTTTAAAGCGACAGTCAGACTATCACATTGTAACAAAGGTGGAAGGAAGGGTTACATGGGTGGGCAGATGGGACTGCACTGTTGTTATTGACTGATTTCCTATACGTACTGATTTTTATTTTGTTATATTAGGTAGGTGAGACTTCCATGCTGTTTTTCCCTAAGCACATTACAATTATTAGCAATCAATTCTAATAGGCCTTATTATGCAGTAACATGATGGTGATTTCTTATAACTATTTTTCCATAGAAATAACCAGGATTATATATTAAGCACTAAATGCAACATTTCTTTCCCCTGGATTTGTATCACTGAGCATTGCTTTCATGTTTTAGAAACAATTTATGTTATCCACAGGGCATATCTACAGATTATAACCAGAAACCACGATTTGGCAATTATGTGGTTGAATTCAATGAGAACATAAACACCAAAAGTTACTTGGGATTTGAATTTTGCTTAGCAGACAGATATCAGGAAAGCACACATCAAAAAAAAAAAAAAGATTGTTAACAGTATGACAATTACAGAATTATTTTTAAGCCATTTCCTTTGTAAATTTATAAATGCAATATATATATCCTCTGTATGATGCTTTTGCATCTGTAAGATAGAAATTCCCAAATTTGCTGTTGGATATGCTAATGACAATGAATATGCTTAGAATTTTGAGAGCACAATAAAAGATGGCTGTTATTATTAAACAGTCATTATGCAATTTAACCAGATTTAGATTGTATATCCTAACCATTATCAGTTTAGATCACTGTTAAATACAGAGATGAAAAATAATACTTTATAGAGAAATGTATCCTTTAAAAACCTTAAATTATCAAGAGATTTGTTTATATTGGTCATATTTTCCTAGAGACAGTCCAAATATGTAATGTTTCAATTGATGAGAATTTAACTCTGCAAAATCAAAACTGAGAATATTGTGCCATTTTACTTTTAAAAATTATTTATTAACTTACTAATGTATCTTTAAGTAGTTTCCAACAGTATTCATAATTTGTCTAAATGATAAAAATTCCAATCATCCACAACATAATTTTTCTGGTAAAAATGAAACAAGTTATATTGGTCTTTCCTTAAATAAAACTACCTCAAGGTTATGCCCCTGCAAAGGAAAAACTGTGTCGCACTAGCATTGGTAATCCAGGTATTAGTGTTGATTATATGTCTAAGCATCCTTTGGTAGATCCCAGCTGGTCCTGGGTGTGGTTTAGAGTCTGGGCTAGAAAATGTGGTTGAACTCTCTGCACTGAGAGGATTAAAGCTCCTCCTTGGTTTCCAACCCAGTATCCCTGAGTAATTACTAAATTCTCCCTGGAAGAGCACTTGCTTTCCACAGAAAAGAATCTTGCTGCTTGGGGTGAGGGGAGGAGAAGCTGGAGGAGTATAATTGAAAAATGCTCCTTGGGTGATTCTGGTTCCTCCTCCCCTCCTCACACTCTGCTTTAGGGAATATTCAGCAGACATTGTTCCAAGCTGCTTTCTTGAAAAGAAAGCATCTTTTTATGAGAAGTTGAATATAGGAGGCAAAAAATTTTTTTGTCTTTGTAAGTACCAAATTCTTTTATTTTTTTTCTTTTGGTCTTTGAGAAACTATCTAAATTGATGTTTATACAAATTTACATAATTCTTTTTTGGTTCACTAGGAAATGGCCATCTATCCTTCATGCGAAAGGATGGGAAAAGATGCCAAACATGTAATGACAAATAAAACCCTAGGTAACAGATTCCAGACAGCAGACAGAAAAATTCTAAGTGGATAAGGGCCAAAAATGCTTCATTGTAAACTCAGTATCCACTTACACTCTTACCAACAATATAACCATTTCACAAAAGCTTTAAATTCCTCTTAAGAAGAAGAAAAATTGTCTAGACCAAGGACCAGCAAACTTTCTCTTCAAGGGCCGGATAGTAGATGTTTTAGATGTTGCAGGCCAATGCAAAATTGAGGATATTATGTAGCTAACAATATAACATTAAAATATAACCACTTAAAAATATTAAAATCATTGTTAGCTCCTGGACCAGGAAAAAGGAAAGAAACAATCAAACCAGATAAAGTGGCCTCCATGTGGTCTATAGGCTATAGTTTGCTGACCTCTGGTTTAGACCATAATAAATGCAAAAAAAGCAAAGAGACCTCTGAATCTATTTCAAAGCTTGTTTTGTTGATTTCCTTTCAATATTCAGATAGTCCTTTTAAGAAGCTATGTTTCCTAAGTAATGACAAAAATAAATTATCAGGGTAGAAAATAAATAAAGTTAGGAGGGATACACCTTAGAAAAGCACCTAAATACTTGATTTCCCATCTCTGTTAGCCTTTCATTAGCCTTGACTAAACTCATCATTGCATCAAATTACTGGGTTTACTTTTAGATTTAAAATCTTTTTTTCTTCTTTCTTTCTTTTATCTGGGTGGTGGGGCAGAGGGCAATTAGAGATGGGGTCTTGCTGTGTGCCCAGCTGGTCTCAAACTCCTGTCCTCAAATGATCCTCTTGACTCAGCCTTTCAAAGTAGTAAGACTATATGCATGAGCCACCACGCCCAGTCCAGTTTTAGATTTTCTAACCTCACCGAAACATACAAATTATGAAGATAGATCAAAAACACTGAAAAATGCAAAATGATTAAAAGTCTATGAAAGTATGCTGTACTGATTATAAATCAGACAAAATGTTTATCTTTAATGAGGGTAGTCCGTGTTTTAGGCACTGAAGATAGAAAAGCAATGATGTAATCCTTACCTTCAAAAAAAATCTGGAGATTTCAGGATATTTTAGTCTTTTTAAAAATTTTTTTTTGCCTATAACTCAAATATGGAAATGTTTTGTCTGTTAGATAGCATATACTTCCAGTTTTGAAATTAGTGTGTCCTGTTAAATTTGCTAATCACAAATTAATCACTATGGTT